ATAAGGGTCTTCTGTCAGATGCAGAGCTCGGTCGGTGTTTGAATCCTGAAAGTGCTCTGGTACTTGTGTATGAAGAGTCGGGACGAAACCAGTCGATTGGACGATTAGATGCGAGGAAGAAGCTTCTTGGGGCCAGTGATGCCCCTTTTGCCACGAGCATTCGGGGTACTTGCGGGATAAGAAATGCTATTTCGAGGCCAGGACTCACCAGCGAGGCGCGAAGGAAGGGACCAGGATAGACCAAGGCAGGGGTCGCCCAAGACTCAGTACGGGGGATCCGCCACATAAGTGGGGTTTGGAAGAGAGAGAAAAAAAATCGAAAAGTTTGGAGAATCCCATGTTGGACATGTCGTCAAAATTTGGTGCGCCCAGGTTGGAACGATGTGTGGCTACGAGAAATTTTCGGGGGATTGAGGAGGGGATGGGGCAAGGTCGCGTAGGTATCCACAACGACACGCTAACACAGTTAAATAAACACTGTACAAACATCATGTCCGATACCTACATAGTAGTAGATACCCGAACACCATAACGAGGACTTATCGCCTGCCGGTTGGAGACACCAGTTTGGGAGAGTCCTCGATGCGTGGAACAGTGTGGGTACAGTCACTTTTCACCCTGTCAGGCATGATGGTCCGGTTACCCACTGTGGAAGACAGATATGCTTGTGGTGTCCGGCGCCTGCCCATTTTCCTGGTCGGCGTCTCCAACCGGCGACAGGACAGGACAGGGACAATGGGTGCTGACGAGTGATGGTGAACAATCTAGATAGTGGCCCGCCCGCCCGCCCGTTGGCCCCACGCTGCAGTCGCGATTGAATTGTGCAGGTACGTCCACTGGCTGGTCGGCGGAGGAATCGCCGCCCCCCTGTCCGCAACCCGATTTCCTCCCTGCGTCTTCCCGTCCTCGAGTCAATCCATGTCAGTTAGTTCCCTCGCACGATTCCTCCTCTCCTCCAACTCCAACGCCTCGCCTCGACCCCAACTCCCCCAGCCTCCATGATGCATTCGTTCTTTGCTGACTGGCTGCTCCTACGATATGCGCGGGCGAGGAACATTTTTCGGGGGCCGCCTCTGGTCTGAAGACTTCCGACAGGCCTCTGTTGTCCAGAGATTTCCCAGGTACCTATGCTACCTACGTGCTACACTACACAGGCTCTGGGTTAGGGGAGATGAGTCTAGACCGTCGGGCTCCCCGCACAACACGGATACATGCCTAGCTCGCCTTCGCACATGCGGCTGACTGCCAGTCCAGGCCGCGCTGCAAACTGAATCTCTATATCACTTCAGACGTGACCGCAGTCCTGGGAGTATCCGTCCACACTAGTGGAGGATATTCGGCATTGGACCTTCTTCGGATGATGCACATTAACAGTACAGCAAGATGAGCTGCAAGATGAGCTGCAACAAGTATTGAAACCCGGACTCCGCCCTCTCCTCTGGTGAGCACCCCATGTTGTTGTTCTGTTGGTCCACTAGCACCCGTCGGCAATCTTGGCTGGTTAGGGTCTTGGTGCATTTGAGAAGGTGGACGAAGGGCTTTGGCGAGCGTCAACCCGGAATAGTCGCCAACCAGTCATCCCCGCCTAGTTGGGCTGGCATTTTCCAACACGTCATGACTTCAAGGGGGGGGGCTGAAGAGCGCAGCGAGCAATCGAGGGTGTCGTGCTGGTGGATGAAAAAGAGAGACATGGGGCTTCCCACATACCTAACTTGGCGTAGCCAGAGTGACAAGCTTTGCTGCCGACTTGAGCGTTCGTACACTCTGCCAGCTACATAGCCTTCAACAACCCCTTCCAGCGACCGCCGGGTAAGACTTGGCTTCGTTATAATGATTGGCTTTGGAAGCGCATAGCCGCCTCCAGAGTCTCTAGCTTTTGGCCAACATTGCCGTGCCTCAGGGTCATGCGATGCGGCTGTACGGCAGTACCCTAAAGCCCAATCGAAAAGCGATGAGAAAAAGCAACGAGAAAGGCAAACGATGATCCGTTGAAGGGTCTCGGAGTCTGGCGCTGGGCGTACTGTGCACTACAGTGTACCTACACCTTCCTTGACTACCTACGTCCACAGTTCCCGGCATGCGTCCGCTGGACAAGGCGTTTGTGACTTGAGGGTGGCGATCCTTTTCGTCAAGCAACCCGGAAATAACAGTCATAGTGACAACAGAGAGAATAAGGGCAAGGTTCTAATGGCAGTGATAAACAACATGGAAGGAAGCCTTGTGGGTACCATTGCCTGCGAAGGCCAAGCACCTACCTAGGTAGGTACTACTGGTGCACTGTAGGTACGTACCGAAGGCGAGTCGGGTTGATTGGAGATGAACCCCAAGACCGATGTGGGCCAGGACACGGAACTAACAAGACGGAGCCAGATCGAACGAGTGGGCAAGCAAGCGCGGCCCATGTCTCGTCTCTCGCACTTTGGCTTTCGCTTGGACACAGAGTCGAGCACCAGAGGGAAGTAGTGGTAGTGTACACTCGAACACACGCACACACACACACACACTCTCTCTCTCTCTCTCTCTCTCTCTCTCTCTCTCTCTCTCTCTTTCTCACACCCCAACCGGGATACCTCCATCCTGACGGTGGGAACGGTCCAGCGGGTCAAGTGGCAAATGGTCCTCCACTCGCTCAGTCTATGGATACGTCGTCTCACTTTTTTGCTCTGTCGTTCGCCTGCCATCGCCGGCGCCAAGTCATTGACCTCGTCCTGGCCTTGGAAGCTGAGAAGGGGGGATGGGCTTTCTTGCCCACAGATGCCTTCACACTTCTCGATGCTGTCTCCTTACAACCTCTTCTCTACCTAAGCTACTGTCCGTACACATCGTCCGATTCCCTGTATTCATCTATACTGTACGGATACACTTGTTCTTCCATCCTTGTTTTCCAAGACCCATGCTGCCTCGAGGGATTTGCCTCGTAGCCCGGACAAGTGTGAGGGCCATCCGACCAAATTTGTGTCCCTTGCACATCCCGGAGCGGCAGCCAAGAATCGAAGAAGAAAAAATCCCATCCTTTCTTCATCCAATTTGCTGCTGTATGTTCCAGGACGGGCACCCGGCCATGCACATCAGTTCGTTCCCACGTCCAGGGTGTCCCCCTTACCCGCTGGTCCCCAAGTCCGCCTCTTCTACCATCACCCCCCCTCCTTCTTCCAGCTGTCCCTGGACCCCATTCCATCTGGGCTGAACTGGGCTTCCTACTGTACATCCCTTGCCCAAACTGACCAAGAAGCTCTTCGGCTGCAGGGCTTTCGTCTCCGTGCTGACTTCCACACTTACACCTCGGACCTTCTAAGCCCACGCCTTCCTGAACGCCACTTAACCCATCGCCTGGCCCAGCCGTTCCCATCTCGCCTTGCCAGTCACCCCAGTCTCGTATCGTCTTGTCTTTTCTCTTCCAACAGCTCGGTGTACCTATGCCGGTATTCTACACTGCCTGCCATATACTCGCCTCTTTCCCGGACGGCGTAGGTATCCCACTGTGACACTGGAGACAGGGCAGAGCATCCGACCGTTTAGCGCCTGCATGCCAGACTTGTTTTCAACCCGATCAACTGTCAGTTCCTCCGGGCTCGCCTTTGCTTTTCCTCTAGCAGCTCCTCCGGCTTCGACATCGGCACTAGTCCGTGCTGTCTTCCCTTTGAGCATCCCACAAATACTTGAACGGTACTCTCGACCGCATCAGAACCCCGTCGTCGTCGTCTCTTACCCAGAGCCCCGGTATTGCTCAGGAATAGACTGGGCTTTCCGGAAGACCCATACCTACTCGCCTTCGTAAGACCTTCGTAAGACCTTACTCTCCTTGGGAGTTTGGCCACCGTCTCGCCGGCGACTCGATATTTTCTCTGCCCTGCGGTTTTGTCCCATCCTCTCTCTGCTTTCCGGGTCTCATGTTGGGTCTTGCTCTTCTTCCCCCATAAGTATCATTGGACGTTCGACGACCAAACAAGATATTTGTGTTGCCTTGGTCACTCAAACACGCGGCGGCGGCAGCAGCAGCAGCAGCAACTCTAACGGGTCATACCTGGAGCCTTCGCCGAGCGCTCACTCGCTTAAGCCAACTTGTCACTCCACCGGCAGAGTTTCATCACTCGATCTGCTCTGGCGTCGCTATTCTTTCTTTCTTGGCCTCCCGTTGCCTCATCTGCCCTTGCTCTCAACAACACTCGGACAGGCGCCCAGCTAGCATCCTCCATCTTACTCAAGAATCTTCTACCTCTCGATCGTTCTGGCTGCGTCCGAGTAGCGTTCCACAAAGTCTAGACCTTCCAGTCCACTTTGGCAGCCTGGAGCAGCAACCCCTGCCTCGGTCCCCGAAGTTCAGGTAAGAGACAGCCATCCTTTAGTGGCGACTGTACCACACTGAAGCCGCGCCTCTCCACGCGATATGCATGCCTGGAGTTCCCTAATCTGGCCCCTCGCGTCTCGTCCCTTCGTCCCGTCCTCTTTGGCAGGTCCCCCTTCACTCCGGTACTAGCTAGAGAGGCTACGCTCCCCTGCTTCGGGCTCTTCTCTGCATTCGTATTGGACGCCCAGACGAGCTGATCGCCTTACAGGAATTTCATTGAGCACACGCATTACGGTCTTCATCAGAGCAGGGTTAGCTGCCACATATACCCTGGGGCGCTCGGAAGTGTGACTTGCCAGAGGAACCCCCCTTTCCAAAGGCTGTGCAAACTAGCCACATTGGCCACAACGTGGGCATTCGATCCTGCGCAGCAAATAGCTCAATCTCTCTGTGGCGCCTAGAATCACACACCCGTCATATTCTACTCCATCCGTCATTCCCTTGCTGTCCGGGCTTGCTCTGCTGGAGCTTGTCAATTCAGAACTATTGAGGCTTGGACTAGTGCTTCGCCAAAGGTATAAACAAACAGACGGGCCTGTTTCTGGCGCCGTTGGTTCCGACTACCGGTTTCAGAAGCTTTTCTTGCTAACTCCTCTTTGACAGTTTGTGGACGGCATAAACTCCGACCCAAGGTCACTCAACCACGTTACCAATGGGAGATGTTCAATCCCCCTCCGGTGCTCCTGAGTATCCTATCGTGGATTCTCGTCAAGGTTCGAACGCTGTAGGTGTCTCGTCGCTTTACCTTGACGAAAAACCAGGGATGGAGGCTCAAGGTATCCCCTATGCGCAGCACCAGCAGTACGCCCCCCCACAGCAGCATGCCTTCTCCTCCCAACTGGACATGGCACAGCAACCTGCAACCGGCCGCCCCGGCGCTTTCAACATGAGCAGCATGGTGAACGCGCTGCCACAAGCTGCCATGAGACACAATCCCTACGCGCCCGGCGGCCAACAACAGCATCAGCAGCAGCGGTTCAGCCCCGCAACATCCTCGCCGTCTATGATGCCGCAGATGCCTCAGATGGCCCCCCAGTACCCTGGCCAAGCCGCGATGCCGATGGGGAATCCGCACTACTACATGCCACAACATCCGCAAATGCAGCACTACTATGCCAATCAGCTTTCCCCGAACCAGCAAGCAACTCGACCGAACATGGGATACTACCCGAACCAGATGATTATGAACCACCCACAAAGCGGTCACATACCCCAAGGATACTACTATTCTCCGGCCGGCCACTATGCTCAGGGTCAGGCTATCCCGAACTCGATGGTGTCCGCGCAGTACATGGGAGGGAATGTGGCACACAACGACCCAAGAGGCATGCCGCAAGTTTCGAACGGGGTTGACCTCAATAGCGCACATGTTCCTTCAATCCACAAGCCCAGCGGTTAGTTAGTTACACATGGGTACTACAAAACAAGTTGTTGCTAACCGAAAGTATAGAAACGGATGACGGCCGGTCTGGTATCGTTCGAGGGCCGCCGCGAAAGCCGCGTCAAAGTGGTAAGCAAGCCGCGGCTTCTTTGGATACAATCGTTAATATAAATAGGCCACGCGATTTGGATCGGAAATCTCCCACCCCAGACCGACTTGATGCACCTAGTTCACCATGTGTGTAAGGAAGCGAACGGCCTCGAGTCCCTATTCCTGATATCGAAGAGCAATTGCGCATTCGCAAACTTCAAAGACGAGCACACCTGTATGACGGCTCAGCAGAAATTACACGACTCCAAGTTCCAGTCCGTACGTCTAGTCAGCCGTCTGCGCAAGAGCACCGTCGAAGGCGCAACTGGTGTAACGGCACCTACTGGTCCTGCAGCATCGTCTGGGTCGCAAACTCCTCTCGATGCTACGCCGCAGCTTGCAGACAAGGAGAACGCGTCAGAAAACGCAACGTCAGAAACGAATGTGGCCAAACCAGTTACCACCGCCGTTGAGACGGTATCCCAGAAGGACAAGTTTTTCATCCTGAAGAGTTTGACCGTGGAGGATTTGGAGCTCAGTGTCAGAACAGGCATTTGGGCAACCCAGTCTCACAACGAAGAAACCCTCAATTCTGCTTTCAATGTAAGCGTGCTGTTTCTCCCAGTTGGGAGCATTCGCTAACATGTCTAGGCGGTTGACAACGTGTATCTTGTCTTTTCTGCGAATAAATCGGGAGAATACTTTGGATATGCTAGGATGACTTCTCAGATCAACGAGGACCCGGATGCCGCGATCGAGTTTGCTCCCAAGGCACACTCTGTGGACGATGTTGATTTGCCCAAGGCGATCCCAACTGAACCCACGGAATTTGCACCCAAGGGCAGAATTATCGACGATTCGTCGAGAGGAACAATCTTCTGGGAAGCAGAACGCGAGGAGGGAGACAGCGGGGATGAAGAGGAGGAGAACGAAGTGGACCAGAGCGACGTGAGCAGCCGGAAGAGCGGGAACCAGGAAGTGGATGGCACCACGAAGGCTTGGGGTAAGCCGTTCAAGCTCGAATGGCTGTCGACCGCACGCCTGCCCTTTTACCGAACTAGAGGGCTGAGAAACCCTTGGAACTCGAACCGGGAAGTCAAGATTGCCAGAGACGGTACGGAGCTGGAGCCATCAGTTGGGAGGAGGTTGATTGGACTCTTCAATAGGGTGCAGAGTCCCGGGCCTGGGTCTGGGCCGGCTGCCATGCGCCCCGGTATGGCCATGATTGCAGGCTACCCCCCCATGAGGCCACAGTACCAGCAATGAGCCGAATCAAGACAAAATCATTATGAGAGTGATACGACTCTGAAGCATTTCCCCCTGGTCTGGTCATCAGGTTCATCTGGGTTCGGCTCTTGAAGGTTGAGAAAGGGTTGTTCACATTACTTGGACAATGGGCGCGTACGGGCCATGGCAATCGATACTCATATATGGCTATCTGGACATTGGTTCTCACTGTACCTAATCTGACTGTAATTCTGTGTGAGAGTTCCATCAACACCTTTCATGATACGAAAGTGCGGTGACATTGTTTGGCTTAGCGCGTGTTTTCTACCGGTTCCGGACTTGCCAGCCAGTCTTTACACAGACCTGCTGATACAGGCGAAGACGTTTGGGAATCAGTTGAATCAGGCGCCTCTATTGCGAACCGCGAGTTCAAGGCATGTCGTCGATCAACTGTGGCACCTTTGCTGTGGCGACCTCCACTACTGTGGCTTGACCCTCGGAAGGGAAGAACCTGGATGATCACAGCTCAGCTCTGAACCTTAAATGATCCGGGGCAAGGCGTTGCACGGGCGGTTTCGCTGCGGTAACGGCACGTTGCTCATTGATTTACAGGCTTAACTGTGGGTTGTTATCGCAGGTGAAGAGACATGGAAACGAAAACCAAACTTATTGGCATCTTTGGATAGTGGCATTGTTCCAGAGAGCCATCTGCTGTGAAGAGAACTGACTGGAAAAGCGGCGTGTAACCATGAGGAGCCGAGCGCAAGGGTGCATCGTATCGTCTTTACACCGCAATGGTACCGAGCATGCTGTACGGAGTACTGGTTCCCCATTCGAGCGGCAGGCAAGATTAGAAATCCCTCAAAGACCCTATGGTGCATTTGGGTCTCCATTTTATTGGCCGTAGCCGTCAAACTGATTACCCAGGAAGGGGCCTATTTTCACTTCGCAGCGAGGTCTCCCGTCCCCTGCCCGTCTTCCGCGAAGCGAAACCTCCTGAGGTCGACGATAGGAAGTCCGCTTGGGAGACCCAGATTGCTGAACCCGTGGCGGACACTTCTCCGCCCCTTGCTTTCTCGATGCAGACGCGTGCATGAGACATGGACATCGTAAACACGTTTGCAAATGGAGTAAACATGCTATAGGGAGATAAGGAGGTTGATTGAGGGGGAGAGTGGTGTTAGGTGCCGAAACCAAAGCGCCTAGACCTGGCCATTGGATTTCAAGGGGAGGCGCAGCAGAGGACTCTCTGGAAAGCCGGCCGGGCTAGTGGGGCGGTTGGAAAGGACACGGACCATCCATTTGTCGCCGCCGGGGTAGGAGCTCAATTGGCTGGACGAGCGAATTGCGTCGCTTCAGTGGTTGCGGGGGCACCTTCGACCCCTGTTCGGGGCCCGGAACTCTAAAAATCAAGCGAGCGAGAATGGAAGGAGAACATGCCCGTCCAAAAAAGGCTTTGGCCATGTAAAGCTCTTCGATGGTATTCGAAGGTCATGTCATGGGATGCTTTAGTGATGTCAAAATGATGCGAGGATCGAATCTTGTGGCCGGGTTTGATGCAGTGACGCTGGACTAGAGTTTCCAAATGCTTCCTGTAAGCGTATGCGTTTGGTCTACTGGTAAGAGACGGCCGTTGCTGGTGTCGTGACAGTGGAAGATGCTAGAAGCGTCCAGCGACTTCTGAGCCCCGAAGCTCCTAGAAGCATCGCGACGGCTTCATCACCAACGCACCTGCCTGCCAAGATCGCTCTAGAACCAGTCTCCAGACTGGTGGCGTTACTTCCGTAATGTACGGGGTGTTTCTCGAAGCACCTCGCACCCTCTTCTTGGACCCATCAGAGATGATTCCTAAGCTCTGAGGAAGTCACATCAGTACCGGCTCTCAGTGTATAAATCGACCGTCTTGATGCCCTCTCGTCAAGGCCTTTCTTTCCTCACCAGATCAAAACAAACAAAGACAACAAGAAAAGCAATCCAGCATCGCTCAACACTTCAAAACACACATCTCTCTTGCGAACTCTTCACCTACATCTAAAAAATCACGACACAACCACTTATACACTATAACCTCCTACCAAACAACGTCAAAATGGCTTTCTTCCCTCGCAACTTCTACAACACCCCCTCCGACGCTTCCTTCACCCCTCTCTTCCGCCTTCTCGAGGACTTTGACAACTACTCCCGCACCGGCGGTTCGGGCAGCAACGGCGGCGCCCGCGGCACCCACCGCAACCACGTTCCCAACTTCCAGCCGAAGTTCGATGTTCGCGAAGTTGAGGACGCGTACGAGCTGTATGGCGAGCTCCCGGGCATGAACAAGAACGATGTCTCAATCGAGTTTACCGACCCTCACACCCTCCACATCCGCGGCCGTGTCGAGAGATCGTACACCGCCGGCACTCCGCCCGCGGGATTCCTCCAGGGCAACGGTACCGAGATGAGCGGCGCCATCACTGAAGGCAATGAGAAGTCCCGTCAGCCCACCGTCGAAGACGAGAATGAGCAAGACGGTAACAAGAACAACTCCGTCGAGAAGTCCGGCAAGAAGGAGCCGGTCGACAACGCCAAGTACTGGGTCTCGGAGCGCAGTGTCGGCGAGTTCAGCCGCGTCTTCAACTTCCCCGGCCAGATTTCGCAGGACTCCGTCTCGGCGAGCTTCAAGGACGGCATCCTCTCGATTCGCGTCCCCAAGGCGCCCAAGCATGAGACCCGCCGCATCCAAGTCAACTAAACCAACCGCACGTACGCGGCTGACAACCACCACGATAATGTTATGACCACACAATGAGCAAATGTAACAACATCGGCGAGACGACGAAAGGGAACTGCGCTTCGAGGAGGAAGCATCATTTACGATTCTATTTCTGCATGGCCAAATGTACCGCGTTTCTTTCTCTTTTCGCATTGCGATGCTAAGTTGAAATATCTTGGGGTCCCAGTTCCTTTGTGTTTGTAGCTAGCCAATTAATCAATCATTCTTCACACTGCTTTCTGTTTATTTCCCCGTGTGATTGCAATACACCAAGAGATGCTGAGCTGAAATTCCGAGCCCCCCGAAGAAGTCGGTGGTGCTTTGTAAGTCGGAAAAAGAAAGCTGCCTCAAGTTTACAAACCTGCGCCTGCCTGACGAGCCGGCATGAGGGGAGAGTTGATGAAGCTAGGCGAAGTCGAGGTTAAAAAACAAAAACAAAAAAGCCTCCAGATTTTCTGAAAAGGAAGCTTCATTTCACCAAAAACCTGCTGGTTTGCGCATATCAGTAATACAAGTTCGTTCCGCTTTGGTATTTACCGACGCGAGATGAACCACATGGATTCTGTAATTGTAAGCAAAGGCCGGGGGGCCCTGGCAGGACGACGCTAACTCCAGGCACACAGCGGGGCAAGCAAAAGGCTTAATTACATCACGTGACTTGGCGTGTTTTCTCCTCCGCCCATCGCCACCCCACGGTCCTGGCCGACGCGTCTTAAGAGTCCGCTCGCCTCCCCCCATCGACAATCTCCTATTCGCATGCACCACTTCTCCCTTGACGGCTCGCAGTCGTTCCTCACGTATAAATCAGACAGTAACACAGTCTCTCACACCTGGAAGAGTGATGGCCGAACCGGACGGATACGAGGAAAGCCACAATGGCGACGAGGGCGTCGGGACGGGGCCCGGCGCGCCAACGCCACTCTCTGCACTTGAGGTACAATATCCCTGCGAATCCCCCCTTTTAACACGGAAAATGCTGATGCGGCGTCGCCTTTAGGGAGTTGCAGGCTTGACGAAGCGTGATATTCAACTGGTGGTCGACGGAGGCTTCAACACGGTAGAGTCGGTCGCGTATACCCCGCGCCGAACGCTTGAGCAGATCAAGGGCATTTCCGAGCAGAAGGCTACCAAGATCCTTGCCGAAGGTAAGCCTGACTACTCCAATTTGCTTGAACTTGTCTTACCCCTTGTGCAGCCTCGAAACTTGTTCCGATGGGCTTCACGACCGCCACTGAGATGCATCAACGACGCAGTGAGCTCATCTCTATTACAACGGGCTCGAAACAGCTCGACACCCTTCTTGCCGGTGGTATCGAGACCGGGTCAGTGACCGAGCTTTTTGGAGAGTTTCGCACGGGAAAGAGTCAGATCTGTCATACGCTTGCGGTGACATGCCAGTTACCCTTCGACATGGGGGGTGGCGAGGGCAAGTGCTTGTACATCGACACCGAGGGCACGTTCCGGCCTGTTCGTCTGCTTGCCGTCGCCAACCGATTTGGTCTCTCCGGAGAGGAAGTACTGGACAACGTCGCCTATGCGCGTGCGTATAACTCTGACCATCAGCTTCAGCTCCTCCAGCAGGCTGGCGCCATGATGTGCGAGACGCGGTTCTCCCTACTCATTGTCGACTCTGCTACGGCACTTTACAGAACCGACTTCTTGGGCAGAGGTGAACTGTCCTCGAGGCAGACCCATCTTGCCAAGTTCATGCGTACACTACAGCGTCTCGCTGACGAGTTTGGTATTGCTGTCGTCATCACGAACCAGGTCGTTGCTCAGGTCGATGGCGGACCTAGTGCCATGTTCAACCCCGACCCGAAGAAGCCAGTCGGCGGTAACATTATTGCTCACGCTAGCACGACAAGAATCAGTTTAAGAAAGGGGCGTGCCGAGACACGTGTCGCCAAGATCTACGATAGTCCATGCTTGCCCGAGAGCGACTGTCTGTTCGCGATCAACGAAGACGGCATCGGCGACCCTAGCCCCAAAGACCTGGAGAAGGATTAGGCGGCTTGCAATGATATGTGACTGGTCGAGAGTGGTTCTAACGGTGTTATGCGCATATGAGTGAGCTTTGATACGCCCTGGTTGGGAAAGATGGCATGCATTGGTGCTGGCGTTGGACGGCAGGTTTTATGATGGAGTTGTGGTATTTCTGCTTCGACGGAAGGAAATGAGGCCTTCCATTCAATAGACAGAAAAAAAATGAGCTTGAGACGGAAATATTCAATGGATTTGACCCGTCAATACCTAAAATGCCCAAGGCATCGGCGACGTGAACGGGTCTTGGCTGTTGTTCCCACGTCAACACGCACACCGTGCAAAACAGAAGCGAAGTTTGTTGACACTGTATCAAGCTGGTTGCTGTATTGGGATTAGCCCCACCAGCGCGTTGGAGTCTTCAACTGGAAATTCCATCAACTCGAATCGCGACGAACTTTTGCTGTCGCAATACTGCTTAATGCGCCGAGCCTGACCCGCCATTCCTGCGGCCTCTTCCCTTTCTTCGACGGCGTTAGAGGCTTTCCACAGGCTAGGGTTGCAATCGCAATGGATTCCGTAGACACTCAATACCTCTACCGAGAGACTCGTCTCAATCTCGAACCGGCCTCCGCCTCGTCCATCGTCAATATCCGTGTCCCCTCGCTGACGTCGAACGGTAGGGGCGCGAACCGCAAGCTCACGAACGGCGACAAAAACGTTAGCGAAGATGAGGTTACCTTTCGTCTGAAGAGCTTGGCGCCTGCCTCGTCGGTCTACCACCGCAAATGGCACGCCGCACCGCGCAGTTTCCTGTGGAGATTGCTGGAGGACGGCCTGGTTCTGAGCCTCCGTGTTGTCGACACCTGCCGCCAGGAGAAGGTCGTCGATGCACCTCTCATCCTCAACTTCAGATTCACAGTGCCGATCCAGTCGTCATGCGTAGCCTTCGCTGATCCCCGAGAACACGATGCTCTGTCCATGTTCGTGCTCGACGAGTCCAACTCCCTATACTCCTTCACCCTACGACCCGACTTCTTCAGGAAGCGCTCCGCAATCGAGGCCGGCCCGGGTGACGCTTGCAAGGTCTACCAGCCAAAGGTTTTCGGTTTCAAGCACCCGCACCGCATGGTCGCTGCGAGCACCGACCAGGTCGTCATATCTTTACACGACGGAGGGCTGGTGCGGTTGGACCGGAATAAGACCCAGGATTGTAGGTCTTCCTTCCCCCCTATAATCGAGCTCGTGATTGACCTTTTTTAGCGACGAGCAACCCGTGGAAAGAGACCATCTACAACTCTCAAGGCTGGGCTCAAGGCATTCGCAGCTACCTTCCCTTCAAACAGAACCACACCATCCGATACCGTAACATTCACATGGAAGCAAGCGCAGCGACGTCGATACAGGTGACGGATCTCGGCCTCGATGATGCGGCATTTCTCTTCACAATCTGTCTAGACCACCGCATGCGCATCTGGAACTTGCGGACCGGTCAGATCCTGTTCACTGGAGACATTCTCAACGCCGACCGCAACCCTCAGGAGGTCGGCAAGTGGCAGATTGAGCCGACGCAAGCAAATCTTCTGCAGGTGGTTGGCGACGGCACAGGCAACCGGATGTGTGCTACATACTCGCCCATTGGAGCTGGAGAGTTCAAGTTCTGGAACATCAAGGCCCGCGATAGTGACACCGTCTACGTAGAAGACGCCTTTCCAGACACAACGCTTGTCCCCTCGTCGCCATCTCTGTCAGATGTCTGGACCTTGGCGGACTTTGTCCTCTCAAATCTTGCCGATGGCGGGATCCAGTTGTGGACGCTGTGGAAGAACAACATGACGTACAGGGTTCAGGAGCTTGACCTCAACAGGGACAGCATCGCCGAGTCTTGGGAAAGTGGGTGGGTGTCGGTTCACATTGATACCAGCTACCCAACAGCACCAACTTCTGGACCGTCTGATCCAACCGACCCGACCGAAAAGTGGTTGGAACTTATCCTTGCGCCTGGCCGCTTCACAAAAGCCACCCTTGAAACAGCCCTGTCCATCTACGAAAAGGGACTTTACTCACAGAAGGAGAGCGGAAGCTCAAAAAGCCAAAAGGGTTTGGCAGAGTCAATCTGCTCCATACTCGCCTCCACAGCATCTTTGGACCGGAACTCGGCTGGTGACATGGATTACGAGCAGTTCCGAGCCAGCAGCGAGACCCAATGGCGGAGGTTCTACCGCCTTCTCATCGAATTGGACAAGCAGCGTGGCGAAGCGGTCTCTCTGGTCCTCGACGCGGACTCCGATATGACATGGGTCGTCTGTGCGGACGCCATATCTGCCGTCAGAGAATGTAGCTCACTAGAGCGGCTGTACTACAACCTCTCGCAACCGGAGGAGGGCACTGAGAGGGTGGCAAACCTGGTGGCTACAGGAGTTGGCTTCCTCGAGGCAATTTCCGAAAGCATCCAACAAGTCTGCACGGCTGCACTCCGACCGGAAATATTCGAAGAGACGCCTAGGACGGATTACGAAAGAATCCAATATCTGTTCGATACCACCGCTCTATGGCGCACCGTAAGCGAAGAAGACTGCGCACAGGTCGTTGAGAGCCTGGGGCAGAACTACACCGGCGTCACAATGGATCTGTACGAGAGCCTATCTGGCTTGGTTGCGGCCACAGACGACTCCGGCAGCCGCAAAGCCCGTCAACCTCTGACGGATTTTGGAAGAAAACTGATTGTCAAGGCCGTTCAGGAGACGATTGACCTGCAGTGGACGATCATCTTCAGCCAGATTTTGTTGTTGGTGCACATGGAGTTCGACTGGGAGCAGGAAGAAGACATGCTTTCCAAGCGACTCGACGTTGGCGCCGTATTCAGACAATTTCTTGAGTCCCTTCGCCGGTTAGAGCTGCTCCGCTGGCTATCCAAGACCGAGATCACTGTTCCCCTCGGCAACAAGCACGAGCGCAATGGTTCATTCTCTGGTTCGCCTAGTGCCTCCAAGCGATCGGGCGACGAGTCTCAGACGGTCACTGCGCTGGAAGGCAACGTGGGTCACCTTCTCGGTTTCGGCGACAATCGAAACGAACCCCTCGCGGCGAGCATAACGGGTATCGTCACAGATCTCTGTGCCTCCAACAGCGACGTCGAAGTGTCGCCCACCCTGATTCAGTGCTCCCTCATTAGAAGAGAGCGAGCTGACCTTGCTCTGGAGCTCACACCTTATTGCACCCAGACACCTTTCGCCATCTACATCCAGGGCCGCGTCTTCCTCGCTTTGAAGGACTTTGCCCAAGCCGCCTTCCATTTTCGCAAAGCGGCGATTGGCATGAGTAAGTCCGACCTTCTCTATACCTTGAAGCCTTGCTGACATGCGATATAGGCGTCAAGGATGTCGATGTCGACCGACACAGCAGCGGCCTCTTAGATGACACCGAGTGGAACCTGCTCAACAAGGGACCAGCTCGGTACCACTGCCATATTGTAGCTCTCTTCGAGAAAGCCAAGGCCTACTCCTTCGTCATCGAGTTTGCTGGCCTTGCCATTCAATATTCCCACGCCAGCCCCGAAGCTGCGGTAGTCAGGAGCGAGATGCTCAGCCGCCAATTCAACGCAGCGACAGTGCTCTCACGCTTCGATGTCGCCCACGCAAGTCTTCTGGCCATGAAGGACAAGGCTATGCAGCTCTCGTCCCTCCGCAAGCTGGTTGACAAGGTGTGTGAATCCTACCACAACAGCGAACTCATGTCACTGCCGTTTCCCGGCCTGCAGGACTCGATCGACGAGATCCTGGCCCAGAGGTGCAAATCAACAATGGACGTCCTCAGCGGCATTCCGTACCACCAGATTCTCTACTCGTGGAGGATCAAGCACAACGACTACCGCGGGGCCGCTACCGTGCTGCTCGACCGTATCCAGAAACTACAGCATGCCGGCGAGGGCGACAAATTGATTGGCGAGGATATTCTTGACACGCCCGTGACCAAGCAGTACCTGTTACTCATCAACGCCCTGAGCTGCGTCGACGCCAAGCAGGCGTGGATCTTTTCGGAGGAGCTGCCCCCGCCCAACTCGAGAGAGACCACGAACTTCCAAGGCAAACGCAAGGTCGTCACATTGACCGACTTGCGGAAGCAGTACCAGGACGAGCTGGACAGGATCGCCGCCATTCAGAACAACCAGTTCGGGTTTGAGGCGGACGATGTCATGGATATTTTGTAGTAGTGTCAAGGAGCCTGCCAGGCGAGGATACCAACGAAAGACAAGAAAAGAACGAAAAGGAAAAAGAGCTGTACAAGTAATTGACATGATCCCGGACACAAAGAATGATCCTGGACACCAGATACCTCACGAACTGCATGGATTGGGCTTTGACTTTGTTTGCTTATAGGTTCCGCGGTGGAAGGGCAGAATAAATCTCATATTTTTTCGTATCAGTCCAGCAGACCCAGCTCTGTCTTTACCCCAAAACGCCGTGACCTTATGCTAAAACTGCGCGTGACCGACTGGACGAAGACTACCTATCATGACAGCTCCCCAGAACCCCTGTATCATCATCATCAACAACAAGAAGCACGGCACATTACTTATAAACCACGCCATCCACTTTCAGAGGTATCTATGCCTGAACGGGAGGAGGGCCCATGAGCTTGGGGTTCTCCGGGGCGGCGGCCATAATCATGTTGGGACCGGCGACCGCATCTGGGGCTTGGCGGTAGAGGATGATTTCCGATTGCTTGAAATACCTCCGTGCGTCTGACCCGTCTTGTTGTTAGCATGGTTTGACAAGATGAAATGGGCAGCGTCGGTAGGGAGGGGAGGGTTCCTGACCTTCGTCGATGAGCACCAGACTGAGGTAGTACCGAGTCGAGAACTTCTTGTTCACATCCCGGAATGTTGGGGTCAGGTCGAAACCGCCAAGGAAGAGGCGGATGGGAATGGTCTCTCCTCTCGAAGGCGAGCCGTCCATAATCTGCCCGGACAGTCAGTATCAAGCGCATTCTAGAAGGCCGAACCGGGGAGCCTACCTCGAACCGCACCAGCGTCTCGCTCTCGTTATATTGGTTCGGTGCCGCGCCCGTCGTCTCTCTCCGGATGATGGACAGCTCCATGTGCTTGATCTTGAGGCGGACCAGCAAGAAGTATATGCGACCGACGATGACGTCCTTGAGGTGATACTTTGACTTGGAGTACTCGAACTCGATGTGCAGGCAGTCCTCGATACCAACGTCCATCTTGATGGACGAGTTCATCTCGGGGGGTATGCGGTACGAGTAGACCCAGATGTCCTTTTCGCGAATGACGTCGGCCATGCGGCGGGACACGGTGACGCGGACAAAGTAGCGCAGCTTGACGTTGATGCCATTGTACGACTCGTACTGCTTCTCGACGTTTTTGAAGTTAAAGTCGAACGTCTGCGGGTGTTGTAGCTCGCCAGGGGCGGCGAGCTCCTGGACGAGCGAAAGGAATTCGTAGTGGTTTCCGCGGTCGAAGAACATCTCTAAACGTTGTGGTCAGCGTCAGGTGAGAGGGGAAAGGGCCTTCGACTTGGTTACGCGAAGACGGTAGTGGTTCGACAACTTACCTATCGTGCCAATGAACTGGACTTTAATGCCCGTATGCTCTAGCCGCTTGCCGTCCTTAGGTCTGATGGTGACGGCGCCCTTGACGCTCTCGCCATCCATGTACAGCGGCGCCTTTTCGCGGCGGTTCTTGTCAAGCTTGACGTCCACCATAGACCGCTCATCAGCATCTTCCAACACGATGTCGATGTCGACGGGGGTCGAGAAGAAGTACGACATCTTGGCGTATGCGGGGATGCCCGGATCTCTCGCGCGCGCGAAAGGTGTTCGTACCGGTTCGGAGAGAAGGAGCGGACGTCGTTCCAGCTGCAGATTGTCCGGTCGTGGGCCGGAGGCTGGTGATGGGGGCGTATATTAGAGCGGTTGGTATCGGAAGTCAGGGGAGTTGGAGAGCTTTGTGGCTGACGTATATCTCCCTCTGAGCTGCTTGCTGGATTGCGCCGAGCCAGCTATCAATCAAGGTGGGCGGACAATTGGAGCTGTCAGAAATGACCACTCTCATTGGCTAGAATCTACACGTGAGATAGGCACCCATGTACCAGCCACAGGGTGGCTAGCTGGAGGGCCGATGTGGCTTGACTGAGTCAGAGTCAAGATGGTGGTTTAGTAGCCCTTTCCACCGCCTACCGCTTTCGACACCAAGCGCACAGACCACACAGGGCTTGCAAACCCCCATCATTCGGCGCACCGCTGCGCTCTCCATCGCAACTCTGAGCGAGCTCGAAAAGTTCGTCCTCTGGCCTTCGAGAAAAAGTTGTCCATCGCCCAACGAAACAGACCCGTCGCCCAGTAGATCGCCCAGTCGACAACCCTCCTCCCCCCCGACGTCAAGATGAGATACATTCACTCCCAGGAGAGCCTGACGGTCCCTCAGGATGGTACGTGAAAAGCAAAGCCGACGTCGTTAGCACACGCAGCGATTAAGCACACAACACACCGAGAAATTCCACGCCCACTCGTCAATCACGATGCGGCCCCCTGCGAGCTCCGCCGAATTCTGAACTTTGGGATACTATAACACCTCGTGTCGCCATTCGCTTTTCGGGCCTCGGCCTCCTCTTTCTCTCTGTTTCGGTCCTAATGACCTCGGTCTGAGGCTGTAAACCATGAGCAGACTGGGGGACCAGCGAGCGCTCGAGGCGGACGACGCGGCATGGGTTTTTGGGTTGAAAAGTTTTAGACTGTGGATGAGCTCGAAAGGAGCAGTAGTGGCAGGCAATTGAATGCATGCTGACTTGGATTCTCCAACAGTCAAGGTTCACATCAAGTCCCGCGTCGTCACTGTCGAGGGCCCCCGTGGTAAGTACAACGTCTCCCCTCCTTTCCAACCATTGCGCTCCCTCCTAGGGTCGTGACTGGCGGTACCTCGATACCGAGTGCCATGCGCTTCAGGGCGAGAGAATCTCGATTCCGAGTTGGCTGACACCGTCTGCAGGCAAGCTCGTGAAGGACCTGTCCCACTTGGCCGTCAACTTCTCCCAGCCGGTCAAGGGCACCATCAACATTGAGATCCACCACGGCTCAAGAAAGAACGTTGCTACCCTCCGTACCGTCCGCACCCTCATCAACAACCTGATCGTCGGTGTCACCAAGGGCTTCAAGTACAAGATGCGCTACGTCTATGCCCATTTCCCCATCAACGTCAACCTGGACAAGAGCTCCGAGACTGGTCTGTGGGAGGTCGAGATCCGGTATGTTCGCCCTCTTGGTGTAACAACATGAATGTAACAGGCGACTAACGTATCTTAGTAACTTCATCGGCGAGAAGCTCGTTCGCCGCGTCGTCATGCGCGAGGGTGTTGACGTTGCCGTCTCCACCACTCAGAAGGATGAGCTCGTCCTCACTGGCAACTCTCTTGAGGCTGTCTCCCAGTCTGCCGCCGATATCCAGCAGATCTGCAAGGTCCGCAACAAGGATATCCGTAAGTTCTTGGACGGCATGTACGTCTCCGAGAAGGGCAACATCGAGGAGGACGCTTAAATGTATCTCGGGAATTCCAAGAAATTAAGGATTCTTGATGTAATGAAGCTGGGCATGGAGGGGAGCGGGGAAATCAAAAAAAGTCAAATGGCCTTGTTTTTTTTTCCGAGGACTATCCAAAAGAGCAAACTGGGTTCTGGGTCTCAACACAGGCGTGGCCAGGTTCCATTTTTTTGCATCGTGTAGCCCAAGGGTTACCGTACGAATCACATCAAAAAGTCAAGAAAGACGTTACCAGCTCCCTTTCGCTAAGCGGATGTTACCCTCTTCAACACTTAACGACAACTATTACCTGCCTGAAGACATTTCATGGTGAACTGATACCCACGCAAGCGTAAAAAAATGAACAAGAAAAATACCGTTTCCCGCATCTAGCAACGTGATTATGTGATCAGCTTGGTGGGCTTGTAGAGGGAAGATTGAATCTGGTGTGCATCAGTAGCAGCGAATATTGTCCAGCTGACTCGGCAATGGCCCTCACTTCAACTTTGGTTTTTGTGACCATGATCCTTTGATGTCCGGTTGTCGTACCCAACTCCTGATGCGTTATAGGCCTACTCAAGCGACTCGGACCGTACAGAGAGTCGGAATGCCTGCCGTGCAGCAGAGCCGCTTTCGAATCCTCAAACCGTATTCCCAGCAGGGAGGGGCACGGCAACGGGCGCATACAGTACGTGCATGGAAGTCTTAATTTGTTCCATGCACCCGAGCCAAACAAGAGATCGCACCGCACCGCACCGGTTTCGCGGGCGCGGTACGTTCATCCCGACTTTTGGTTCTTCCAATAGACTTGGGCCGCAGGAGAGCCGTACCACGAGCATGCTTAAGCCAATATTACCTACGTAACAGTTCAAGAACATGATTGACTTGACTAGATATATTTGTTTCATTCCTTGCATTACAGGCGGTTCTGGAAGCTGCTTCCGAGACTCTTGCCCACCAAAATTTCGTCTATGCCATCAAAACATTCTGGACATCGTACATGCTATGCGGGGAGGCTAGGCTGCGTTGTGTAATGCTTGCCAAGAAGAGAGAGAGAGAGAGCCACACCATAGGAAAAAAGAACAAGAAAAGGCAGGAAAACGCTCAGTATCCAAAGAGATGTTCCACCTCCCCAAGACACTCCTCATCGGTGCCGTCTCCAAGCTAGGTAGCTACAGCTCCTCCTTTTTGACCTTGTCCACCCCAACATTGTCATTTTTCTCGTTCAATCAATCTTTCGTTCTCTCATCGTCGCCGAATTCCACTGTTTGTCTCTCGTACGGCGTTATGTCCCGTCTCCCGAGTCGTCAGGAATCAAGACAGAGATTCATATGAACCATCTCCGCAACGCCAAAATAAAGAAGAGCAAGGAAAGGCAATACCAATTTATATACGTGTCGAAGCATGTTCTTGGCTTCCGCGAAGCCTAATAAAGAAAGCGGCCGAATACCTATGCAATGTTTCGAGGCCGAGAAGACCTCCGAGAGAAGGATGCTTCGCTACCTCCGTGAGTGGCGTGTCGTGCGGGTACCGCGTGTTTGGCCGGTTCGGTGAGTTCTTCCACCCGAGCTGGAGCTGCCTAGGTAGGACGTCAGATCCGATCGAGTCCGAGAATCCGATGAAGACTCACTGGGACTTGTCCCCGTGTACGAGTAGTACGAATCCGTGTAGCTCGACCGCGGCTTGCGCGCTGGCTTGTCCTTCTTAACGTTCAGCAGCGCCAGCAACGTCGCGGCGGCGGCACCCAGGCCCAACCACTTGGCGCCCTCCTTCTTCTCCTCATTGCGGCGCGCAGCGGGTGCGGGACGACCGCCGCCCGCGAACCAGCCGGTGTGCGAGGGGCGGTGGGAGTGGGCCGAGGGCATACGGCTGCCGTGGCGCGAGTATCTTTCTTCGACGACCTCGACCCGCTCACGGCTGTGCTCCTTCTTCTTCTTGCCGCCAAAGATGAGGCCCCAAAGACCGCGGGCGATGCAGCAAAAGCAGAGCAGCATGAGCAGACCAAGGCCAGCGAGAGTGCCGATAACAATACCCGCGATTGCCCCGCCGCTCAAACCTCCGCCGGTACCCTCGTCGGTGACGGGCACAACGGTTCCGGTTCCAGTCGCGGTTGCCGATGCAAAGGTTCCTGTGGCTGCGGTGCTTGTGATGCGATAGGGGGCCGAGAATTGAGTAGTGATTGTTACGCCTCCAGAAGTAACGGTGGTGATACCCCCACCCCAGCCAGCTCGCTGGGCGCATTGCCCTTCGTAGGCACAGTACTGATAGACGGCGCAGCAAATGCTGCCGCATGCCGTCTCTCCTTCGTGCTGTGGGACACACGTGCCTCCAGCCCCTCCTCCTCCGGCCTTTGTTGTTGCAGGCCAATCTGTTGTGATAGTGCTGGTGAAGGTGTTGGTCTCGGTCCAAGTTGTGGTGAAGATGCCATAGCCCCCACCGCCGTTGATGGTGCTGCAGCCAGCGATATTGTTGACTGTGTAGCACTGTTCGCCAGAGCCGCAGCAGTATTGAGAGTCAACACCGCAACGCTGGACGCAGTCGCGCTTCATGAACTTGTCTCCAAGTTCATAAAATAGGTTGTTGGCCACATTTTGCAGAGGGTAAGGGTGGGCGGAAACCAGTGTGGGTGCGGACGCCAGCAGCAGGAAACCGGCGACCAGAGGGGCTGCAACCGAGTGCTTGCGCCGGCTCATGTCGAGATCCAGGAATGTGAGGAAGCCGAAAGTACGGCGAGGTAGGGATTGTAAGTGAGCTCTCGCCCACACTTGTCTGGTGGGTCAGCTCAATGGGAAGCTGCCGTGGAATGAGCTGTCTCGTAGCCTCGCAAACGTCTCCTAGTGAGAAAGAGAAGGAGCGAGAGGAATGCGGTTTCGTGTTGTAGCAAAAACAATGAGGTATTAATGGTCAGCGGGAAAAATAAAGACGAGTGTCAGGCGGTAATGGTCGTATGAGTGTGCGTGTGCTGGCCGACCTAGCCTGTTAGTGTAGGTGTCGGCAATGGCCGAATTGTTGGGATGATGTAGGGTCCTTGGGTGTAGATAGATGGGGAGGGGAAGAAGAACCAAGAAATCAGAAGAAGTAACGAAATCTGCAGGTAGGTTTGGTTTAAGAGAGAGTGTGCGGACGAAGTGGGAGTGTCGTATTACTTGGTTTGGGCAGAGAGGCAGTCCTTTTTTTTTCTTTCTTTTCCCCTCCCCTCGCGGATCGGTTCCCAACCTCCCCTCTTCGTCCGAGTCCAACCTCTTAATTTTGCTGCCGCTGTCACTACACAGGTACAGCCGCACCCACACAGACAATCCCACAGTACTACCCTCGATTAATGCAATGTTTCGCAGGGATCTAGCTTCACTTGGTAGTCTGCTAGCTTGCCAATCCTTGACAAGGGGACTGTGAAGATACGTCTCGATTGCGCGATTCCATCATTGTTGCTGCGGTTTTCTGCTTTGGTTCCTGAAGATCGGGCGCCGAAAGGTGGTTCCCTGTACCGGGAGACCAAGACACCCGGAAGACAGAGCGTTATGAGTGGCCCGGTGCGGGGGGATGCCTGCGTGAGCTGGCAGACGGGTCACTTTCGCTTTTGTGACTGGCCCGGCCCAGAGCGCCTCGTTTCCACATGTTTACCTGCAGGGGTCGGTCCGTCCACTGGACGACAATCGATAGGCAGAGAAAGCCTGTTTAGGCTACTCGACCTACCTAGTGTATGAAGTGTACGGATAGAGAGAGAGAGAGAGAGTGCGTGTGTATGCACGGAGTATCCGTATGTATGCTTGTTTGCCTTGTCTCCGTGTACTTTCTTTACTCTTTTTGATCTCTTGCATACTACGCAGTAGTCATTGGCCACCTACGCTTGGCCATCCCATCATGAAGCTTCCTCAATGGGATCGTGCTCATTTGCATCCTGGCCATGAGACTAGTCTTGACTCTCACACAACAGGGGCGGGATGAACTGCATTCTCTGATGATATAAGGCAAACTCTTGACGCGATGACAGCTGTCGCGCTCCGACTGTCTTAATTCCTTACACTACGTTGTGATGACATCTCAGCAGGTACCAGTCCGTGGGTTCCGGAACTTTTGACGTGGCCGACTGACGGAAGCCATGCCAGCAGGCTAGGAGCCCACGACCCATCACGAAGTGACGGTGAGGCCCTGGCTAACGACGCCCTCCGCGATGTGATGTTCAAAGGACTCGTGCCTTGCATATAGCGTAGGCTAGCGAGCCGGTTTCGAACATCGGCAACTCGTGCAGAGCAAACGAATGAGGAGCAGCCAGCTCTGGCTCCATATCGCGAACCGAGTAGGTATCGTCGACAACTACCTTCGAGAAAATCGAGTGGTTGGAGACCGGGGCAGAATGGGTCGCCGCTATGCCGTTTCGAGACCGGAGGACCTACCTAGCAGAAGGTAAATGGTCCGAGTGCACCGCCACAATCACGTTTGCAGCAGGTCGTCTTCATTGGCCACAGGCAAGCTGTGGTGGGACACACATAGCTTTGGCCTGTGGCTGATGGAGAACTGGACCCCAAGCCAATCAAGTGCCTTCAACCTGATACAGTGACTTGGAGCAGGGAACTGTCCCAAAAACTGGGCAGGCGCGGCTGCGGCTGCGGCTTGAGAGCATTACGTTCGTCACAGACAGTTTGCAGCCGCGAACCACCTGCGACCCTCAGCACGCCGAATCCATCCCCTCTTTCCGTTTTCTCAACAGCACAACCGTCGGTGACGCAGGTCCATCTCAAATTGAAGTCGCCTGGGTCTCTACGTTCCCTCGACTCGCCCGCCATGTCGCTCGATACCCCCACGTATCTGGGCTCGCTGCAGGACAACATCCGCCAGCGGCCAATCCCCTGGGATGGCGCTGTTCGAGCAGGCACCATCACTGAGGACCACCTGGCCCGAATCCGTGCCGTTGACAAGGCGAAGAAGCCCGAGGCGAGGAAGGAAATCGTAGAAGGAGACCTCGATGGCTACCGCTCCCTCTTTGTGGGCGAACCGGGGAAGCCCTCCGTGCTCGAGTCTGCGGGGAAGCAGGCCAAAATCGTTCAGTACATTCTCGTCCTCCTGGCCGACCTCTTGCCCAGTATGTTCTGCACCTTTCTCCTAGCCAAACTCATCGCTTTGGAGGCAATTCCTGTGAACCTTTTACTCTTTCGCCTCGCGCCTCTAATTGATATGTATCGACGTTGAGGTTTAGCCGTTCTTTTGAAACCGCCAACTAATGCCACTATCTCCAACCTATAGGTGTACCATCGCTCTCCAAGGCCATCTTCAAGAGCAGCGACCCCTACAAACACTTCCTACCCTTGCTCGCCCACTCCAACAACACCGAGGATCCGATCCCACTGCTCACCTCGACGGCTTTGACCAAGCTCATGTCGCTCGCGGGAGACGAGTCGCAGGCAACCAAGAATGCCATCCCCGTACTTCTCTCATACCTATCTGGCCTCGCGAAGAGCTCCGATGCTGGCCTCCAGGATATTGCCGTCCAGGAGTACTCCTCCATCCTCTACGGGCATGCCTCTAGACAGCAGTTCTGGAACCAAAGGAGTGAGACAATTGCGCCTCTCATTGAGATTCTCAGAACAGCGGCCGGTATTGGAAGCAATGGCAGCTCATCGGCAAGCATATGGAGTGGCACTGCGCCCACAAGAGCACCAGGCTTTGAGGGTTCGCTCGGCGGTGGTGTTGGTCTGCAGTTGCTGTACCATGTGCTGCTGGTGATTTGGCAAATGAGCTTTGAGGCCGAACAAATCGGCGACGAATTGAACGAGTACGTCCAAGCCCATTTGCAGATCATCTGAAAGCTAACTCTGTGACAGCGAATACGACATTGTTCTGTTGTACACCCAGCTCCTACGTCTGTCCCCGAAAGAAAAGACGACTAGGTTGGTTGTTTCGACGCTCTTCAACCTACTCAGCAACAACCAGAAATCTCTGCTCCCGACGGCGGTGCTTGCGCGGCTGCCCTCGCTCCTTGAGAACCTAAGCGGCCGCCACTTAACCGACCCTGACCTACTTGAGGACGCCCAGCAACTGAAGGATCTCCTTGAGGAGTACACCAAGACAAAGACCACATTTGACGAATACGTTGCCGAGGTCGAGTCCGGCCACCTCCGCTGGTCACCGCCTCACAGAAGCCAGGTATTCTGGGCCGAGAATGCGCGCAAGATCCTGGAGTACGAGAACGGAGCAATCACCCGTAAGCTAGCCGAGATCATGAAGAAGCCGTGGGAGAACGACAAGGCCGTCTTGGCGATTGCTTGCAACGACGTTGGGGCATTGGTTAAGGAGGTGCCCGAAAAGCGATATCAGTTGGAGAAGCTCGGGCTGAAAACAAGAATCATGGAGCTAATGGGAGAAGCCGACGAGAACGTCCGATGGGAGAGTCTGAAGGCACTGGGTGGCTGGCTTAAGTACAGCTTTGAGAACTGAATGTGTTTCTATGGCGACCAGTATGGCTATCGGTGCCTCGCGAGGGGCTGTTTTGTAAGTATAAACGGGGACAAGCATTGCTCAGGCAGTTCAGAGTGGACCGGGAGTCTTTTTTTTCTCTCCCCTTGCATGTTGTTTAATCGGCCATCGCTCTCGGCCTAAAAACCATTATGTATCTACCTTGGCTATTCCACAAAACCTCATCCAGACAAGTGACGAGATGATGGTCGAGCCCAGTGATTTCCCCATTGAAACGTTATGACTGTGGGCCAAGACTCAACACCACGAATAGACATCGTGGGCTGCTTCTCTTGGTGGCCCGGTATTGCCAACAAGGTGACGCATGGCAGAGACCTACGGCATGTGTGTGACCATCTGACGAGCAAGCCCTTGCGGCGGAAAATCACCCGAGGCGCATCATGACACTCTTGTAACGTCAGGGGTCGGCTCCATATCTCGTTTTCCGCCGGCACAATGCTAAAAGTGGGGGTTATACAGATACGTACCCAGAAAGGCACCTAAAATACCTAATGTACCTATCCATACTCCGGAGCTTAACATACGGGCGGTACGTGCCCACTGCTCGGCGGGGGTGCGTCACCCCACACCCAAACGTAAACCCCTCAATGGTTAGTGATTCTAGAATCTCCAGTGTGGGAGGATCCCAACAGAAACCCCACCGGGAGAGAGCTCTCGTGGTTCAGGGTCCATAGCTTACCACAGCTTCCGGCCGCATGTCCGATCGTGTACCCTCCAACCATTTCACAAACGCCGAAGGGCGGTGCCGTTGTCTGCCCACGAACAAAAACCAGACACACCCGCGACATAACCCGCACCCACGCACACCTCCCTCCTCCCCTCCCTTCCACTCCCAACTCTCTACCCTTTACCACAAACCACCTGCTCGCGGTTGACAAAATGGCACCCAAGGCAATCGTAGCACCTTCGATTCTCGCAGCCGATTTTGGCAACTTTGGCCATGACTGCTCCAAAACCATTGAGCAAGGAGCTGATTGGCTTCACGTCGACATTATGTACAGATACCCCGCCGCCATGAAAAATAAGCACACGAGCACCTTGCGACCAGCTCTCACTTTTCCAAAGAAGTAAAGCTAATCATCCTGTCACTTTAGGGACGGCCACTTTGTTCCCAACATTTCATGGGGGCCTGGCGTCGTCGCTAAGATTAGAGGCCATGTTGAGAAGCCCATCGAGGCATGGGGCAAGGGCACTTTCGATTGTCACATGATGGTTTCCGAGGTAAGAATACCCATTCCCCTCCTAGCAAACGCAATTGGGTGGCAACATACCCAGTTGTGCGCTGTCCTGCACAGAAATGCAGTCCGGCTAACGCATGTCGCCTATCCAGCCCAAGAAATGGGTAAAAGGCATGAAGGACGCCGGGGCAAACCTGTATTGCTTTCACTACGAGGCCGCCTTCTCCTCCGACTCCGATAACCCAGAGGTCCAATCCAACGGAAAGACGAACCCCCGCGCGCTTACTCGCTTTATTCACGAACAAGGTATGCTGGCCGGTGTTGCCATTAAGCCTGCAACGTCCGTCGACGTAGTGTGGGAGCTCCTTGAGAGCGAAGACCCTCTCGAGAGGCCAGACGTGAGTGTTTTCCCATCCCACAGTCCGGTTTTACAAGGTCCTGTCACAGCAAAAAAGAAAACGGGGTCTGCGCGAACACGCATTAGACTGACAGGGGTATCTCCACAGATGGTTCTTATCATGACAGTCGAGCCCGGATTCGGCGGCCAGAAGTTCATGGCCTCGCAGCTGCCCAAGGTCCAGGCCCTGCGCGAAAAGTACCCTGAGCTCAACATTGAGGTCGACGGCGGACTGACGGGGTCCACCGTCCATCAGGCCGCTGATGCGGGTGCCAATGTGATCGTCGCGGGTAGCGCTGTTTTTGGCGCACAGGACCCCGCAGCAGTCATCTCAATTCTGAGGGAAGCCGTCGAGAAGAAGAACGGCAAACTCTGAGGCATGCCTTCAGACGCCTTGTTTACGGCCACGTTTTTATGACCTTTTTTTTTTTTCCTTCCTTGCGTAGTTGCAGTTCTTGTTCGTTCTTGTTACAAGGGAAAAGCAATGGAGCCCTGGGTTTTATATTTAGCGTACATAGATATCAGCCGGACAGCAACCTTCCAATGGTAGGCTGGAGTTGTTGATCTTTCTAATCCTAATCTCAAACGTATTTTACCATGTTACTCCTTTGTTCGCAGTGCCTCGTCCAAGGCTGCCACGAAGCTCTTGATTTCATCAACTGGAAAGAATCAGTATCACTAGTAGGTTCGAGAAGGGGGGAGCGGGTCTTGCCGGCTTACGGCTATTGTAATGCACCATGCTGACTCTCACAATCCCATCCGCGGGGTCGAGGCCCAGGATTTCCTTGATGAGGCGGTAGGAGTAAAAGTGGCCCCATCGGAAGCCAAAGTCGGTGTCCTTTTCCACGGCTGCGACAAGCTCCTTGGCGCCCCACCCCTTTACCCTGAAGCTGATGGTTGGTACTCGGCGCTCCGTTCCGGCATCCGTCTCGCCGTACACCGTCACATCGTCGCGGCCATTGAGGTACTGGAGTAGCGTCAACTGCAGCAGCCTCTCCTGCTCAACCTTGTACTTCCACTCCTCGGAATCGGGCGTGCCGAGGTACTCGAGCACCCGCGGCACGGCCGAGACGAGCTCGTAGCTGCCTCCGGCGAGTCCAAGCTTACCCTCGAGCGAGCCGGACGGGTTGAAGAAATGGCCCAGCGAGCGCATGTGCCGGTCCTGCACGGAGCGGCTGGCGTATAGCATCGCCGTGTGTGGGCCATAGACTTTATAAAAGCTGAATGCGTAAAAGTCAACGCCGAGTGCCTGTACGTCCAGGGGCCGGTGCGGGGCGTAGGCCACACCGTCAACGCACACGAGGCCCTTTGGCGTCTCCTTGTGGACGGCGGCGGCGATGGCAGCAACGTCATGGATCGTACCGAGGATGTTGCTGGCGTGTGTGAAGGCCACGAGACGGGTCTTTTCCGAGAGCAGGGGCTCGAGGTTCTCGACGGTGAGTTTCGGGTTAGGCGCGCCGGCGGGCTTCCACCATTTCACAGTGAGGCCTTGGCGCGAGGCGAGGTCGAGCCAAGAAGCGATATTGGCCTCATGGTCGACTGCGGAAACAATAATTTCGTCACCTTTATCAAAAGCGAGGGCATGGGCAAGGTTACGGAAAAGCTGGGTCGTAGAGGCACCGACGACTGGCGCTGATGTCAGTGAGCCGTTCACCTCAGGGGTGACGCTGAAGTATTGGTTCCTACCGACTTCATCAGGGGATGCATTGATGAATTTTGCGCCGGCCTGATATCCCTCACCGTACGCGGCCGTTGCCTGCTGGCCGACCCTGTATGAGGCGCCCAGCTGAACGTTGGTCTGAGACAGATAGTCCCGGATGCTGGCGAGTGTGAGCGGGGGGGTGTTGCACTCGGATTACGATGACAAAAGGACGCACGAGTCAATAACGGTGCCTAGTGTCTGGCTTCCGCCTGCGTTGTCGAAGAAGACTTGATCCAGAGCTAGAGCCGGGAACTTGGCCCTGGTGGCCGCGATGTCTAGTTGAGCAGACATGGTGTAGGTCTTGCGGTTCGGTAAGACGTACGATACGAGGCTTTCGGCAGGGGTTTTCCAGTGTTGCGGGAAGTACGAGAGAAATAAGTTGTCCGATGGAGACCAGCGTCCTAGTTCTACTAGAAACCCGCAAATTCGGACGCCATTCATTCACGGGATGCATGACGTTCTGCGAGGGGCAACACTGCTCCTGCAGCGGGGATGGAGGGGCACGAGAACTGTGGGGCGCGGGGTCGGCGGTCGGTGATAGCTCGTCCGAGGGGTCCGCGTCCGCTGCCGCTGCCGCGCTGGGAAGACTGTGGGCAAGACCGGGGCCCAGGCATGCGGCCACTTGAGGGGAGAACGGACCAACAAAACACTGACCAGAGCTGAGAGCAAAACCAGACGTATGCCTATCTGGCTGGTGCATTGCTTCAAAGTACGCACATCTCGTCTCGGGCGCCTGGAGCGAATAAGTGCATGGCGGATACAGACCGTCTGCACGACGGCATTGGTCGCTCGCCAGCCAGGTTGGCGGTTCGCAAGGGCGCTTGATATGTCATGCAAGTCCCTGAACACGTCTCAGAGCCGAGAATCGTCCTCGGATTTGCACCCCCCTAGGTTCTTGCTGCCAATTGGGACTGATAGGTCGCACAATTGATAGGAGCGACCAAAATCCGGAGGTGTTTGCGCACACCGACGAACGCAAGTTGACGGTGGCAGTGGTGTGAGAGGGAGAGAGAAAGAGACCAGGACGTGGAGGCTGGAGGAGCACACTGCAGGGGTCAACGCCGCCCATGGGACGATTTGGCGCGAAAACAGCTATGGGAAAAAAATTATGTGGGACCTCAGCCCACGTTCGGGTCCCGAGAGCAGATGCTGCTCATGAACCTGGAGGCTGCCAAACCAGATTTTCCCCCTTCTCTTTCTTCCCTTTCCTTCTCGCAGTAAACCATTTTCCCTCCAGAGGCTGCAATTGAAACCGCCCAAGATGAAGCGCAAGGCCGACTCTCGGATTGACGACAAGAAGGCGTCCAAGAAGAAACCCAAGACGAGTTAGCAGCCCCCTCCCCGGTCCTCCCCAGTGCGATGTTGCTTGCTTGCCGTGCCCGCCCACCCGTCCACTAACACCGACGCCAACAGCTCTCTCGCCCGACGTCGCAAAGTCGAGGTTCCGCAAGGGCCTCTTCGACAAGAAGGTTCTCGACTCGTACACGCACCAGTACGCCACCTCGAGCCCCTACAAGCACTCGGTCATCAACGGCCTCGTCGACGACGACCTCCTGCGCTCCGTCCGCGACGAGATCCGCGAAAACGTCTCCTTCACCCCCAAGGAGACGGACATCTACAAGATCCACCAGTCGGGGGATCTCGCCAACCTTGATGGCCTCGACGACGACGCCCTCGCCAAGCTGCCCTCGCTCCTCTCCCTGCGCGACGCCATTTACTCGGAAACCTTCCGCAACTATGTCTCCCACATTACCGGATGCGGGCCCCTGAGCGGCCGCAAGACCGACATGGCCATCAATGTTTACACTCCCGGCTGCTATCTCCTATGCCACGACGACGTTATCGGCAGCCGCAAGGTCAGCTACATCCTCTACCTCACAGACCCGGACACGCCATGGAAGCCCGAGTGGGGAGGCGCCCTGCGGCTGTTCCCCGTCGACGAGCGCAAGGGCAAAGACGGCGAGATCGCAAAGACGCCGGCGCCGGACCACACCAAGGTCATCCCGCCCGCGTGGAACCAGCTGTCCTTCTTCGCTGTGCAGCCGGGCGAGTCCTTCCACGACGTCGAGGAGGTGTACCACGCCGAGACCAAAGAGCAGCTCGAGCGCGACGGCGGGCGTATCCGTATGGCCATCTCCGGTTGGTTCCACATCCCACAGGTCGGCGAGGACGGCTACGTCGAGGGCGCCGAGGAGAAGCAGGTCATGAACTCGGGTCTCATGCAGCTTCAGGGCAACCCGGACCAGCACGACACCCCGCCCGCGAGGCCCGTCAAGGTCGACAAACCCAAGGCTAGCCTGGAAGGCTTCGACGAGGCCGGCCTCGAGTTCTTGCTCAAGTACATAGCGCCGACGTACCTCACCCCGGACACGCTCGAGCAGATCTCGGAACACTTTGAGGAGAACTCGAGCATCACGCTCTCCAACATCTTGTCCAAGAAGTTCTCCGCCCGGCTGCGGGAGTACATCGAGTCGCAGGAGAAGGCGCCCCTGCCCGCGGCCAGCACGGCCATCGAGAAGGAGTCGGCGTGGCAAGTCGCCCGCCCGCCTCACAAGCACCGCTTCCTGTACCATCAGCCCGCGGCCGCCGACGAGCTGCGCAGCTCGCAGGAGGAGAACCCGCTGACGGAGCTGCTGGACCACCTCCTCCCGTCACGCCAGTTCTGCGAGTGGCTGCAGGTCGCGACGGGCACCATCGTCGAGAGCCACGAGTTCCTCGCGCGCCGCTTCCGCCGGGGCCAGGACTACACCCTCGCGACGGGCCACGAGGGCAAGCCGCGCCTGGAGTTCAACCTCGGCATCACGCCATCCAAGGGCTGGGGCGACGAGGACGAGGACGGGGGAAGTCCCGAACAGCAGGAGGAGGAGGAAGACCAAGAGGAAGAGGAAGAAGAAGCAGAAGAGAAGCCGAATGGGAAGGGCAAGAAGCGTAGCAAGGGCAAGGGTAAGGACAAGGGCAAGATCAAAGCCAAGCGCAAGCCCGAGCCCGAGCCCGAGCCAGAGGAGGAGCTCGAGGTCGGCGGACACGAGGTGTACATGGCGGGCGACGACGGCGACGAAGACGAGGACGCCGCCGTCTACAAGTCGAGCGGCGACGATGACAACATCCTCTTCTTCCAGGCCGCGGCGTGGAACAAGCTGACGCTCGTGCTGCGCGACAGCGGCACACTGCGGTTCGTCAAGTACGTCGGCCGCGCGGCCAAGGGAGACCGCTGGGACATTTCCGGCGCGCTCGACATCAAAGACGAGGACGAGGGCGAGGGCGGCGATGCGGCCGGGTCCGAGGAGGAGTGGAACGGCTTCTCCGATTCCCCGGCGGCGGCGGAGAGCGACAGCGATTGAGCCGACCTCTGCTTGTACGTACCGGAACTATAGAGGTCTTGTGCCGTGCCGACTCGCCGAAGCTCGGCTCTCGGCGCACCAAAGCTAGGCGGCAGGACAGTATTGACCGGGGGTCCGTGGTAGAACAAAAGTTATGAAATGACAGTAGATGCTTCTTTTTTGCGCCCCATCAATGCGTTTCCCCCCCTATCGAAGCCAGCGAGACTATATATGCATGTTTACTGTGTGCCCTTGGTCCCGACTCCGCCCCCGAGACTGAAGACGACAACGTCTCAGGAAAAAAAAAAAGCAGATTTTTGGTTGGCAAATGCTACAGCAAGGCCTGGTCGTTTAGCAACCCGGCTCGGCTCGAAATGTGCAATGATAGAAATAGAAAGGAGACCAAACATAAAACAAGAAAGATGATGATCAGTTTCGCTACCCTTTGATACAATGCCCCTTTCCCCACAAAACGCCGATGTGCCTTCATCAAGTCATGCAAGAATACACGAGACAGCAAACACGCAAACCGATGCTAGAGGCAGGCAACGACCCCTGACGAAAGCCTCCCCCAACCTCCCGCAGCTCTCTAGGCCAGCAATGCTCTAAAACTTCTTGAGCTTCTTCTGAGGTACAGTCCTGACGAACGCATGCTTGAGGAAATGCAGCCACACCTTGTTGTGCTTCTTTTTGTTCTTCTTCCCCTTCTTGCCTTTCTTGCCGCCGTTCTTCTTCTTTTTCTCTACTTCTATACCATCTTCATCATCTACGACTTCTTCGTCCCCATCGTCGTCCTCTTCACCCAAGTCTGATGTGCCTTTCTGATCGTCCAACTCTTCTTCTTCGTCCTCGTCTTCTTCTTCAAAGTCTTCGTCAAGTGCCTTGCCCTTGGCATTCTCTTTGGCGAGGCGGTTCGCCAGCTTGACGTAGCTCCGTACCGTCAAATCCGACAGCTTGTAGATCTTGTCGGTGAAGGTGCTGTACTCAACCTCGAACGCGAAGGGGTGCGGTTTTGGCTTTTTGGACTTGGGGTCCTTGTCTTTGTGAATGCCGTCCCGCCACCTTGTCCCAGACGCATCCTCGGTCTCTTGCGTCATGTCGTTGTTAAGGTAGGTCAGGTTTGCAAAGTACTGAGTGTATCCAAGGAAGGTCAGGGGCTGGAGCGCATAGGCCGGGCCAGGGCCGGTGCCTGCAGGTGGCGGTTGCGGGATGACCAGGTTGGGGTCCTTGGGCGTCGGCTTCTTTTCCTTTTTCCCTTTCTTGCCTTTCTTCTTCTTCTTCCGGGCGGCGTCGATGTCGTGCTTCAGGTCCTCGTAGATGTGATCGTCGTCGGCCGAGAGTAGCACTGACGGCGCCGCCTTAGTGAATGAGTCTATCCAGACTGATGCGTCCTCCAAGCCGGCGATGTTGTACTCCATGACACGGAGCGTGGGGAAGTAGTTGGGCACGATGCTGGGGCCGACGAAAGATAGGTGGTATCGCTCCGCATACTTGCCGCCCAAGTCCTTTCCAGGCTTCTTTTTCTTCTTCTTGTCCTTGTTGCCCTTCTTGCTCTGTGCTTCCAAGTCGTATGACCCGTCCTCCTCCAGCGCATTGGCGTCGACAGGAGGAAGCTTCGCCCAGCCTTGTCGCAACTCTGTCAGGTAATCCTGTGCCGATTGGATCCCAAGTTCGTCATCAAGTGCTTCACGTCCGACATCGTCATCAACTGCGTACCCGCCCAGAATGTTGATGTTGACATCCTTGGTGTCGTGCACGATGAAGTGGTCGATGTTCATATGGCCGTAGAGCGAACCAACAACCACATCGCGGTACTGCTGCATCCAAAGATTATACTTTTGCCAGCATGTCTCGTCCCAATTCTTCTTGCTGTCCGTCCGAGCAGGAGGCACGTGGCCCATGAGGATAGCCTTCATGCCGCGCTCACGTAGGAATCCTAGCTGCACGCGAAGCCATTCCAGCTGCTTGAAGCCCGGCTCGGAAGGTTGCTGGCAGTCATCGATACCGGCGTTTCGGTCAAAGAAGTACAGCGTGTTGAGACTGAAGACTGCCAGCTTCTTGGGGATCACTTCGACGTAGAACCAGCCACCGTACTCGAATGAGTGGCGTTGCTCTTCGGGGATGAAGCGCTTCCAGATCTCGGCATAGTATCCCAGCCACTTGTTGGGTCCCGGCAAGAGAATGTTGTGCGGAAGGATGTCGTTGTTTCCAAATGTAGGGATTACGGGAACGGCCATGCGCGTAGAGTCTTTCGGGTCGCCAAAGGTCTCGGCAAACTTGTCGGCAACCCACCGGTTGGTGCCGAGCACCTGCGCAGGATTACGAGGGATTTCCTCATCACTGTCATGACGTGCAGTGTCACCGGTCCAGATGACGAAATCGATATCGTCTGCGATATTGGCAGCGATCCAGTCGAAAGTGGCATTCACAAGGGAGCTCGGTGCATCGCAGTCGGAGGTTTCCGCGCCGTAGTAGCCGGCGGATCCATCACCTCGGTGGCAGGCGAGACCTTCTTCAGTAGAGGAGTGAGTTTTGTAGAACTGGTCAGGGTGAAAGTCTAGGATGCGCGTTTGTTAGCCCTGCCAAGTCCAAAGGTCTACAACGATGGCTGAGTGCCCCTGAACATGGAGACTGCAGCCACGACGGTCGCGCTGCCGTGGGGTGCCCTCCAGTAGGATTTGAACATACCTGTGATGTGTAGAAACTTCCCGTGTAAACGACGGGAGCTTTCTGGAGCAACGGCATCTGCGTCTCCAGCCTCGGGGCCAAGAACTATCTGCTGCCCGCTGGCGACAGGTGTAGCAAGGACGGCATGCAGGAACTGCTGGAGCAGGGCGAGGTGCAGCGGCAGCAAGCCCACCATTGCGGGTAAAGACCGCATTGCTGGGAGCTGAGGACGCAGGATCCAATGATGCCGTAGCTTGGACGCAGGGCACGACAGGCGGGCGGTTTTTTGGTTGTGGTGGTGAAGGGGTTGTATGAGCAAAGCGAACCGTCGCGCGACAGGAAGCTTGGGAATGAGTGGATGACGAGGGGGGCCGATTCGAGGTTATTAAATCACGATTTCCCGATCCCGAGCTTTGCTCCCGTAGGAAATAAATGGAAGCGTGATGCGCGGCGCGGACTGGGTTAATGAGCCCGGCAGGGACTGGCTTGACTTCTACGTAAGCGTGACTTCGCGTTCCTTTTTTTTCTCTTTTTTTTCCCCACGTTCCAGGATTCCAGGACTGGACGATGTGGCCAACAGGGGTCCGGGGAGCTGGGGATGCTGGGATCACTCTCTCAGATGCCGTGGTCAGAAAGAGGGAGGGAAAAGGGAGCATCCGACCGGGGCCCACGTCACAGTCACAGCAATTGGGAACAACCCGGCTGTCCTATTTCTACGAAGGGAATAGGTAGTGGTGGGAAACCCTACACTACCAAAAAAAAACCAGTTGAACCTAAGGGGCGATCCTCCCGTTGCCCGCCATCCGCTTCGATGGCCCTTTCTTAAGTTGGCGGCTGAAGTGGGAAGTGATCAAGTCCCGTGGCGTCCAATCCTTCGGGTGCTGCTGCTGACTGGTGTGATTAGACCTGTGTGGGAGGAGAAAAGGAACGCATCACGGGTGCATTTTCTCAACACGGAGACAGCGTGAGCGCCGTCGCCTGCTCTATTTAATGCAGCTGGGTCTTCTGCCCAGGACAGTGTGTACAATCTCCCCCAGAGATGCATGTCGAAAAGGGGGAACAGTCTCCCTCGCGTAGCCCTCATGCAGGTCGCTGGAAACAACGCACAGAAAGACCATCAAGGTCCGTCCATACACAGTCAGAAGTGAAACCCTCACTGGCCCCCCCCCCCCCGTCGTCTTCACATTCAACACTTACCAACACGAAGGACGGTCCACAAGGCTGAAAGCATCGAGCGCGAGCCAATCGAGCTGTTGGACTCCAACACGTGTGTTTCTCCTACGACACCCACTGGCACTACACTCCATGGCTGAGACAGCCAACCCCCGCGAGCCTAGGCAGCCTTTCCCTCGATAGTAGCACCGCACGCGAGCCTGTCGGGCATTCTGCTCGTCGTGTTAATGCCTCTGACCGGCCCCCGTGGCTCATCTCATCCCCTCTTGTCGCCATGCAGGCCTGGAGGTTGTCAGATGGGTACCGGCAGCGTGATGGTTGGTTTGCACGGAAGTTCAAAATCGCCGCATGCTGGGGTGGGCTGGTTGGCACGAGTCAATCCGGCGCTTACTTCAGACCGTTGCTTGGCCTGGCCGTTTCCGTCGTAAGGTCCGCGTGATTCCGGTACGCGATACATGCATGGATTGTTCTTGTCTCTTCTGATTTTTCCCGCCTGGAAGCGCCAAGACATGTCTTCATGCTCTCGATACTCGTTCTCGTACCATCGGCTGGTGTCGATCTCTCAGCGGGCATTTCTGACGTCATGCCCACCAGCCAGTCAACCTTGCTCCTTGCTGGTGTGCTGGCCGAAGCCTTCCTTCTGGAAACGTCAACAGAATAAAGCTAGCAGGATGACAAAGTTCGACGGAAGGCCTATCAAAACACTTCACATAAACCCCGCCTTGCCAGAGCTGCCGTGTGGTGTGCTCCCCTTCAGTTGGTCAGTTGACTGGCCAGCACGTCCGATCCCTTTTAGGGGTCCCGTCCTGTCAGTGTAACAATAGCCAGTCAGATCGACGTGAACGAGCCGATTCTGGAACCATCGGACGTCCTGGCTAGCTTGGCAAAACACACAATCTCTCATCGAAGAACACCGAGTCCGCTCACGGCTACTGACCGCGCATTGAAGTTTGGGCTTAGGATTCTGACTTGACGGCCAGGCAAGTGTAACCGGGGGAAAGAGTTGTCGAAGCACAACGAAACTCGGCTCAGATGCCTCCAAAGCCCAGTTCCAGAGTGCCCCACTTCAGCCAAGCGACCCGAAACTAATCCGGATCCGCTCTAGCGCACTGGCTCCATCCGCCAAACACCACAAGATTTCTGCGCTCGTTCCTACTTTGCCTTTTTTTTCCCCCTTTCCTTTACATTCAAACGCAACACGATCCTGTCAACATACGCTGCCAGTCAACCTCTCCCATGTTTGCCGCACTCCAGGTTATCGTTGCTAGATCATCAAGCCGCTCGTTTGAGGGTCGTCATCGCTTTGCGCTTCCGTGATGGCCTCCCATGAAGAAGTGGCTACATGTCTCAAACCACGCATTGTGGGCGTGAAACTCTAACCGACACTGATCTTATCAGATGCGAATCTATTCCCGAATGGCGTAGGCCTCATGGCAGTGCTTTACGTCGGATAATGTTGCCTGCCGCACGTGGAGGAGAATGAGACGACGGCCGGGTTGGCGCTGGAACTGGAACTGCCGGGATATCTTCTAAATTTTCTATTGACACAGCCCCCGGCCGGCCATCACGCCGGCGCCGGAGTCGGCCCCTTGAAGTACTTGCTGGGGACAAATGGCATCTTGGCCACCGTCGCCGCCCTCTTTTTCCCTCTCACCACCACGTCCAACTCGGTGCCCGACTTGTGCAGACCCTCCTTGACGTAGCCCATGGCAATGTTCTTGCCCAAAGTGGGGCTGGGCGAGCCACTGGTGATGACACCGACCTTCTCGCCGTCCTTGGTGAAGATGTCGGCGCCCTCGCGGGCGGGCGCGCCGCTCACCACAAAACCCACGCGCCGCCTCTCGATGCCCGTGCCGCCCTTGCTCTTGGGCACGATCTGCTTGTTAATGACCTCGGCGCCGTGAAAGCCGCCCTTGGTCCTCCGCTCCTTGGGGATGATCCACGACAGGCTACCCTCCACCGGCGTCGTCGTGTCATCAATGTCGTGGCCATACAAGCACATACCGGCCTCAAGGCGCAGACTGTCTCTCGCGCCGAGGCCCGCAAGCTGGAGCCTCTCGGGCCCGGCGACCTGGAGCAGCGTCCGCGCCAGCGGGTCCGCCTCGCCATTGGTCGACTTGAACGAGATCTCGAAGCCGTCCTCGCCGGTGTAGCCTCCGCGGCTGATCATGGCCTTGTCCGATGTCGACCTCCACTGGCCGTCGACCTGATACCTCAGCCGGGCGAAAGCAGTGTTGCCAAAGTGCAGGCTCGTCAAGTCCACGCTGTCGGCCGGGTCTACGACTTCCTGGAGAATCTCGGCGCTCTGGGGGCCCTGCAGGGCAATCAGCCCGTAGCCCTCGAGGACCTCCCACCAGAACTCCTTGCCCTCGGGGTTCTGCAGCCCCGCCGTCTGCTCGGTGAGGTACTTGAAGATCTTCTCCCGGGTGCCCGCGTTGGAAACGACGGCGAACTCCTCCTCGCCGAGGCGCGTGATCATGGTGTCGTCGACGATGCCGCCCGTGCCCGGCCACAGGAAGGTGCTGAGCTTGCTGGTGTTGACGTCCATATCGGCAACGCTCGAAGGGGTGACAGTCTCGAGGAATGCAGCGGCGCGCGGGCCGGTGAAGCGGTGCTGCACCATGTGACTGACATCGAAGAGGGAGGCGTGGGTGCGGGTGAAGTGGTGAGATTCGGTGAGGGAGAGGCCGGCATACTGCACCGGCATGTGATGGCCGCCGAAGATGACCATCTTGCCGCCGTGGGCGATGTGGAAGTCGTACAGCGGCGTCTTGTCCTGCTTGGAGAAGGCGGCGAGCTTCTCCTTCCAGTTCTTGCGGGAATCGGCGGAGGAGGAGGAGGAGGAGGAATAGAGACGGTAGTGTGCTGGTTGGCGTACCGGTGCGGTCGCCGTTCTCGGGGCCGGGGCCGTGTTGGAGGATGCCGTCAGCCCGGCGAGGGACCGGCCCTGGTGGGCGGGCGAGGTAAAGAGCGGCCGGGCCGTCCTCGCGGCTGCTACCAATCGAGATCGTGTCATGTTTCGGGAGTGAATTGGGATGTGTTCTTGTGGTTCAGAAGGGAAGAAGGAGCAGTCTCCCTATGAAGAAAGTGAAAAGAGGAAGACTAGAGTGTCGAAGCGCGGGGGAGGATGGACATCCGAGGGACGGGGGAAGCTTTCCCTTGACCGATAAGGTATCGGCATTCGATAAGAAGGGTGCGGGTCTGATGCGGACCGAGCTTCCAGCTCCCTGATTGGCGAATTGGGGTTCGTGCTCTCGGTCCAGAACCCGAGTGCTCGGTATCACATCCGCGGGATGGTGTTGAAGTGCGGGAATGGTTCGCATATGTATAGCGATTGCGGTCTCCTAGCCGCGCAGGCGCGGTCATTTTCCATCGCGGACCTGCCCGTAGTACCGCCAACGACATGTCTGCCTTTCCAAGCACGTCGGTCCCAGGCCTCTGGCAGTAGCTCAAGGCTTGAGGGTCTCTCTCTCACCCCATGGCCTGCAGTCTCATCCCACTCAGTTAGTCCACATTATAAGCTAGTGGTCTATTGCAAGAGCTACTACCACCAGATCACTAGTATTCGGCATTCATCATTATGCTTCTGTCGTTTACTTTGCACGAACATGACACACCGTCATCTGGTTGAGGGAGCATCGGCGGTCCATCTACCTAAGGAGATTAGCACGGCAGATTGATGGATGTATCACCTCAGACTCCCTTCCCGCGAAAGGAGCTAGCTCGCAGCCACTGGCAGCCACTGCAGGATGCGCGACAAACGCAAAAGCTTAACAGTTCGGCCGGACGTGTTTCCAGCTGCGCAGGCGCGAATCAGTCTCAATTTCAGAGTCAAGCGGGTCCTTCCTTCTCCGTCTCAACAAGCCCATGCCGCAGCCCCTCGCTTAATGGTAGGTATAAGATCGGCGACCGGATTTTGCTCGATGGACCGCATAGCGTCAGATTGGCATCAGGTATGGGAGGGGGAACAGCCAAGCACGGCTGTTGGCTTATTCGTAGCGTAGCTCCCGCTCTCGCCCACACAGCTCACTCGACGCGAGACGCAAGACACGGACGTGACAGGACTGCATGCCGGCTGCTTATTCGAGTCGTGTTATCGACTGACGATCATAACCACGGCTCAAGCCGGAAGTCCGTCCCGCCAGCGAGGGAAGCCAAAAGAGAAAAGAAAAAAGAAAAAAACAAAAACAAGACGGACTACCACGAGCGGCGCGCCACGTTGAAGCGTACGGAGTAATTAGTGTGCACTACGGTAGGTAGGTAATTGGTGCGTAGGTACGGATAGGATGCGACGGGGATCGCGCCGTGGTGGGAAGGGGGGGGGGGGGTTTACGTGGGCACTCGCCACACAACTCTGGATGTGTGCCAGGCACGAAGGTAGTTGGGTAGTCCGTAGTTCTGGCAGCGTGGCGGACCTGTCAGGTGTCGCTCTTTCGAAGACATCAAGTCGGGGCTTTTTTTGTTCTCGATCGCACAGCCCACGGCTCGATGGCCACGGCCACACATGGAAGGAGGAGGATCGCATGGTTCCGCAAGGGGGTGTGTGCCACGCAGCCACACTCTGAACCACCATCGGTACCAAAACCACCTACCTTAGGTACAGTATGTAGTGTCATAGGTAGTCTCTTCCCAAAGGTGGCTAGAGAACGTGCTACAACTAACCACTTACTCGACTCGGCTTCGATAAAGAGAGCGAGTGCTTCCACGGGATTACGATCTGCACTGCGGCCCAATTGCACTGTCCCCTTTGCGATGCTGTAAACAGTTATCCCTGTTCTACCTACCGTTACCTAAGTAGGTACCGCCGTCACTGTACGAACACCTACTCCCTTCTCGGCCGCGCTGCTAGCGCTGCTTTCTCCTTGGGGGGGGTTTTTCGTCCCCGCTTGCTGGCTATCCGCCGCCACATCAACATCCTTGTGCTAGTAGCTGCTGGGTCCTTCTCCCATGTTGAATCTTTAGCCAATCCCCGCCCGCCAGCACCGTCCGGAGGCTGTTGCGCTCCATCCTCGTTCGCTCCGTCCTCTCCATATCAAATTTCACGTCGAGCTCATTTCGACGGCGGGTGCTCCGACTACATCGTCTTTTTTTTTCTTGATCTTTTTTTTTTCTCTTCTTACTCTAGTGGACTTTTCCCTCTTCCCTCCCATTCTCGTTCCTCCTGCTTTCCCGCCCACACCGAGTGCTACAGCCAACCGCCCCAATTCGCCAATCGAGCCGGTCTAGCCCCCCTCCATCCATCTCAAGTTCCCAACTTCTCAACCGTCGCGGATACGGTTGCCTCTTGTCATCCTAATTTCCGTTCCATTCGCACCCTAAACAGTTGACTCGTATTGCACCGAAGTCCTCCGTCGCCTTCCCGACGCCCCCGTTCACCTCTGCATGCTGCTGTGTCCTGTCCCTCTTTTTTTTTTATTGGACAGAGGATCCACACGCAGCTGCAGCGCTGAAGCGGTAGAGCGCGGCGCGAACGGCTGACCACGCCCGTGGACCACCATCGCTACCACCACACGACAGCACAGGACAGGGACCCGCCTCTAGCACGAATCCCAATCGATACCTATACAGGCTGGCCCTCGCATCATGTCCACCGAGCCCTCCCCTCGCGCCGTGAGATTCTCCAACGGAGACGACGAACTGCGCCAGGACAAGATCATGCCTCACCGCCCCCTGCCCATTGCCGTCGACTCGGACAACTCTGCCTCGTCTGCCGATTCCCACCCAGACGACCCCCACGCACTCGAGCGCCAGGATGAGGTCGGTTCCCTTACCAGATACTCCGAAGGCCACATCGCCGGCTCCATGTCGAACTTAGTCCAGGCTGCCACAGCCAACGGCGGCACCACGCGCAGTCTGCGAAGCAATGCCAGCGACGGCGATGTGACCTACGCCAACGGCGCTGCCGCGGCCAAGGTTCAACGTCCCAACGCCCCGGCGAGAACGCCCTCCAACACCTACGCCCCCGCCGCTCATCGCAGGCCGCAGCCCGCCCCCTCATTTGTCGAGTCCGTTCGGGCATCGTCTAGAGGCCGCCCTCGTCCGAGCGAGAGATTCCGTCAGCAGGAGAAGGCCTACGTCCAGAGGCTGCGCCAGGATCACAACGACGGATACCCTTTCGACGGTGGATACGTAAGCGGTATAAATGGCCTGGTACAGGGTGGGGACTCCGACTCGGAAGGCGAGACGCCCTCGTCCGAGGGCCATTTCGACGACAGATACGACCAGGAGACCATCATGTTTTACGGCAACGACGAACTGCAGCCGAGCGACGAAGACCTGAAAGACCCCTCCAACCGGGAACGCCTCGAGTGGCACGGCATGTTGGAGGCTGTCCTGACCGGAGACGTTGTCAAGCAGGAAAAGAAGCGCTTGATCGGCTCAAACGAGCAAGCAGTTGGCAAGAGTGGACAAAAGGCAGAACTATGGCTGGGCATCCGCTCAAAGGTGTGCGGGAGACATCTCCCGGTGCAAAGGCGAATGGTGGAAGAGGCACGCGCAACGCTGGACCGGACCCTGGACGAAATCATCAACTTCTCCGTCAAGGGTGAGAGCGAGGCCGGGAAGCCGCCGTACGAACAGGTCAAGGACGTGGTCAAGAAGCTCGAGAAGGCCGAGGGCTTGTACCCCTCGTGGACCTCGTTGGCGGCAAAGCACCAGTCAGCCAGCTCCCCGCTCTTCCAGGAAGCATCCGAGTCCATCATTGCCTGGTACAATACCAACGAGCTTATCAACACGGAGCTCGCCATTCTCAAGAAGTGGGTCGGCAACGAAGAGCTGGACTTCACGCGAACACGACAGCGTTCGCCCGTGGGCAACGGCATCGGCGATGAATCGTCATTCCTCGACCGACTGATGAAGGAGGACGGCCTGAGGTCGCTCTACGACGAGGAGTTCGACGACGAGAAGAACAAGGATGCTCACAAGGGCATGCTGCCCGGCATCTCGACCGTCATCAACAAATCCAAGGAGACGCTCATCCGCAACTTCGCCGCTTTCCAGAAGCGGCATCTTCCACCGTATATCGAGGAGCTTCTGACGCTCATCAGTTTCCCCTCTCGACTGATTGAAGAGATTATCAAAGTACGCCTCGCCTACGCTAAGAAGGTCAAGGAGTCTGCACAGCAAAACCCCATGATGCAAGACCAGATGATCAGTCAGTTCCAGTTGCTCTTGAAGCTGGCTATCCGCATCAAACTGGAATGCCTTGCCGTCACGCAACCGGAACCCGGCTGGGAGCTTCCGCCCTGCATCGACGAGTCCTTTGACCAGGTCGTGCTGGACGCCCTCAAATACTATTTCAAAATGCTCAACTGGAAATTGAGCGGCAACAAAAATACCTTCAAGGAGGCCGAGCTCTTGTTTGCGGAATGGGACTTTGCCAACGAAATCGGCAGTCACCTTCTGGGCGGAGACGTCGAGGTCGCTGAGCAGTTCAGTTCACTGACTTTCAAGGCCATCAACCGTCTGAGCGTTACCTTTGAAAAGGAGCTTCAGGTCAAGCCGAGAGAGAGCACCGCCGAGATGAGTAAGAGGTACAAGCAGTGTTTGGATTCCGTCCGAGTGAGACAAAGAATGTTGCAGCGTTTCTCCAAGATGTTGAGCGAAAACTACGAAAACGCTTCCGACTTCAGTATTGCATTCGCGCCGGAGCAGCTGCAAGAGTTCTACGACAGGCTCATCGTGTCGGGCCACTTCCAGGTTTTCACAGATCTCTACGAGCAGGAGGGCATTTTCATCATGGCGTCGCCCTCTCTGATGGACAGACACGACGCGATCCAGTCCATCTTGGGTCTCAGCTCGCCCGAGCAGTTCGCAGAGGACCCCAGCGACCCATATCTCTTGATTCTACGTCCCGAGAGCAGCCCTCACTGGTTTGGCGATGTGGTCCAGCTCTCGGTTCGGGAACGGAACATTGACCTGAAGAAGGGCCACGTGAGACTGGTCGCTGTGGGCGCCCAAGAGCGGCTTGTTAACGCCAGGAGGGCTTTTATCGATGCCGTCGACATGCACGTGGATCTGGTGGTTGAACAGAGATCCAACTTGCACAAAGTCAACACGCGACTTATGGAGATCAGGCGCGTCGCATACAAGCTGTCCAACAACTTTATGGACAGCGTAGAGATCATCCGCAAACAGACCGAGGGCAGACAGGTCCAGGAGCTCATCCAGACCTGCTTCGTCTTCGCGACGGAGTTTGGCCAGCGCTCGCTGCTTGTCATGGACAGCAACCGGAAACAAATGAACAACCTCAAGCTCACCAAGCTTGCACTGGACTGGGTCAGCTTCATCTGCGACGACTGTGTCGCATCGGATCGAAAGACGTTCCGTTGGGCGGTCCTGGCTCTGGAGTTCGCCATGGGGATGACCAGAGGACGGCACATCCTGGCTCTGGGCGAAGAGGAGTATGCCAGACTTCGGGCCAAGGTAGCCGGCTGCATGGCTCTTCTCATCTCGCACTTTGATATTATGGGGGCGAGATCCAACCTGGCGGCGCAGGCAGAGAAGGAGCGCATCGAGGCCCTGGTCGGTCAGTTCAAGCGTCTCGATAAAAATCGGATGCTTGACGACCACGAGGCGTCCAAGTACATCACGGAGCAGCGTTTGGAGGAGCTCGAGAAGGTCGACGAGATTAGGAGGGCCAAGGAGGCCGAGAGACAAGCGCTCGGCCGCGTGCTCGAGGGAAATAACGAGGTCGACCGGTCCCTGGCCTACCTCTCATCCTCGGCTACAAACATCACGATGCGCTGGCAACAGGGCCATTTCGTTGGCGGCGGTACTTTTGGCAATGTTTACGCCGCCATGAACCTGGACTCTGGCCACCTGATGGCCGTCAAGGAAATCCGTCTACAGGACCCGAAGCTGATCCCTACCATTGCCGAGCAGATCAAGGACGAAATGGGTGTCTTGGAGGTTCTCGACCATCCCAACGTCGTCTCCTACTATGGTATCGAAGTCCACCGCGACAGAGTCTATATTTTCATGGAGTTCTGTCAGGGCGGGTCTTTGGCGAACCTGTTGGAGCACGGCCGTATCGAGGACGAGCAAGTCATCATGGTTTATGCGTTGCAGCTGCTAGAGGGTCTCGCTTACCTCCACGAGAGCGGTATTGCCCACCGCGACATTAAACCTGAGAGTGAGTGCCCACCTTTTAGAATCAATGATGTGATGTTAACCGTCGGCAGACATTCTCCTCGACCATAACGGTATCATCAAGTACGTCGACTTTGGAGCCGCCAAAGTCATTGCCAGACAAGGCAAGACCCTCGTGCAGGATCTCTCTTCTACAAAGCCAAACAAGTCCATGACGGGGACACCAATGTATATGTCTCCCGAAGTCATCAAGGGCGAGAATCCTGGCAGGGCCGGTTCAGTCGACATTTGGTCTCTGGGCTGTGTCATTCTTGAGATGGCAACCGGTCGCCGTCCTTGGGCCAACTTGGACAACGAGTGGGCCATCATGTACAACATCGCGCAGGGCAACCCTCCCCAGATGCCGTTGACCGACCAGCTCAGTCCCCAGGGTATCGACTTCTTGAAGAGATGCTTCACCAGGGACCCCAAGCAGCGCGCATCCGCCGTTGAGCTCCTGCAGCACGAATGGATCATGACGATTCGCAGCCAAGTCGTGGAGCCACCCACGCCTAGCGATGCTAGTAGCTCGGCTCAGTCGACACCCAGCTCCAGGAGCTACACCAATGACGGTTTCTACTAGGCGCAGAAGTCACCTCATGGCGTTGACCACTACGAATCTATCGATGCGCGGCTTCAGGGGCCGCATCAAGCACCATTACATAGCGCCGATCTGCCAGTCGTCCTGGTGACGAGAACGGACGACTCTGCATGAGGCACACAGCAAGTGTCTCGACAGTTTTATACTTCTACAAAGCACACGGTCACATTCAACTTGCACACATACATACCGGGAAACCCCCAGAAATTGCATCAGCGAAGCGTTCGGAGTCATTTCCTCGAGAGAGTTTTTTTGTGCCTTTTCTGGTTGGCGGGGTTCAAAGGTAGTCGATCGCTACTGAGGAAAGGGGGCTTTCGCCCCTTTCTTTTTCTTTTCTTTTTTTCTTTTCCCTTTTTCTTCTCTCACATGAAGAACACGATCATGACTGGGAAATATCAGGAAAGTCGGGAAGCCATCAGATGGGCATGAGTAAGCCTACGTGAGATATGCTATAAACATGTAATACAAATAATACCAAAAGGCTAGCCGGCCACCTGTATACCCTAACTCGTTCACTCTTGCTGAAGGTTATCAAACTTTGGTCCCTGCTTCACAACAGTTGTTGCTGCTTCTGCTGCTGCTCCTAGAGCACGGCAGCCTCCGTGATGGCCAACTCGTTCTTGTCCGAGTCCAACACCGCCAGCGCGTCCATCGGCAATGTCACCTTGGGCGAGGTGTGGCTGACATCGACGTTCATCAGGATGGGAAACTTACGATCCGCTAGCCGGCCGTGGCAAAGGAGGCCCCGAAACGCGGCCGCGTAGCGGGCCCTCTCTTTTCCCGTATTGTACCCGTACGGCCGCCCGATGACCAGCCCGGCGAGCTCGTCAAACACGCCGCGCGCCGCGAGGTCCGCAACGGCCTGCTGCACCCTGCCCAGCGGGTTCCCCTTGGTCTGATCACCTTCCCCCGTGGCGGACTCGAGGAAGAGGATCCTGCCGCGCCAGTCGGGGGTGATGCGCGGGATGCCCTGGATGCGGGAGACAACGGTGAGGCACCCGCCAAAGAGGCGGCCCTCGGCGCGGCCGGGGGAGGGGAGGAGGGCGCGCGTGTTGGTCGGCGGGGGCGACGGCGGCGGGAAGAAGTAGGAGGGGATCAGGGGCGCGTAGAACCGGGAGCGGGGGACGGGGCCGAGGGGCCGGCCGGGGTGCGAGATGGCTTGGAGGAGGGTCGCGAGGTGGAACTCGTGGACGTAGGCGTCGCCTTCGGCCGGGTCCTCTGGCACGGAGGCGGACGGGGAGAAGGAGGAGACGGAGGCCGGGGTGAAGGCGGCGGCATCGACTTCGCCGCCGAGCTCCAGGGCCGCGCAGGGCCCATAGAAGGTCCGGAGGCCCGTGAGGGCGCGGAGGCACCAGTGCAGGACGGTGATGTCGGAGTAGCCCACGACGATCTTGGGGTTCGCGCGGACGAGGGCGTGCAGGGCCACGTCCTCGACCAGGTAGGGGATGAGCTGGGTCATGGTGGAGCCGCCGACGGTGCAGAAGATCATGTCGACGGTGGGGTCGGCGAAGGCGGTGCGGAGCTCGGCGAGGCGGTTGCGGATGGAGGCGTCGACGGGGTCGACGGCGCCGCCGCCGCCGCCGCCGCCGCTCGGCGTCCGCTCCCCCACCTCGGAGTAGATGTTCGTCACGACGTAGCCCAGAGAGCGTAGGAGGGTCTCGGCGCGGGCTAGTGGGGCGATGACCTTGGGGTCTATGCGGCCCGAGGGGGAGAGGAAAGCGATCTTGGCGCCGGGCCGAAGGGCTTTCGGGATGATGGGGGGTGGGAAGGAGGACATGTTTGGCGGGGGCGGTATAGTCTTGTTACTGTTGTTTTGCACCATGTCCTTTTCCCTCTTTCTTTCTCTTCTTCACGAAATCTCTGGCTCTGTCGGTGTGGATGGTCTTGGCAGATGAGGCGTGGTCAGTTCGAGGTACATATCATCTCGTGGACCGAGGAGTTTCGTTTCGACGTCAAGGTGATCCTCCGGCGAGCGATTCACAGAGCGGACACCTGCGCTGGTTATCTAAGCAAACCCAGCTTACAAACACGGCTTACAAGCACAGCCTACAATAGTCCTCTTATTGGCGAAAGACCTTGCCGATGGAGAACGACGCATTTGCTAAAAAGAAATGCTTGGCAATAGGATCCTTCGGGTTCAATAAACATGTATCTAGATTGGATCTCGTATTAGGGAACGCAAGTCCTGTCTCGGGAAGGGTATAAGTTGTGGAATAAGGAGCAACAGTGTAAATAGAGCCCTGATAACCCTGTATGTGAGTTGTAATGAACACTAAAGCGAAGACATGCTTACCGGCTCGTGGTGCCGAGTCGGCCATGAGGGTGTGTCGTGGCATTTAAACAGGATGCCCGCTTGCATACACCCGAACGGCTGGCCAATCTCAACAGCAGACAGATTAGCTAGCACGGGGTACCGCTCTTCTAGAAGAGCATTCCCTCGCTGGACTACCCGGCGGGATCTCAGGATCTCCAGTGAGTTGTATGTTCGTGTGTGCTTGATTATGTTTCGAGACTGTAGTTTAATATATACCTTGTAAGAATAACGTTGCCGGCCGCCGCCGTTGTCATCGCGCAATCGCTTCCCTCAGTTCCCAAAGATGTCCAGCGCGTGCTCCATCATCCAGTCCATGCCCTCCTTGCGCCAGTCGTCCGTTTCCACGAAGGGGCCGTCGATACCGAAGACCACGTCGCTTCCAACCCCGGCCTCATTCTTGGCGTCGTAGACGGGCCACTCGCCCAGGCCCGGCGCGCCGTTGGGGTCGAGGGACACGAAGAAGTTGACCCACGCGGTCGAAATGGTCTTTGCCATTGCAACAGCCTTGGTCGTATACGTCGTGTCGTTTCCGCCAAAGGGGTTCGTGGCGTAGCCGATGCCATTGACGTTGTCGAAGACGAAGGAGACCTGAACGAGGGGGGTGTGTCAGCCTCGGGAGGACCGTCATGAAAAGAAGGGGACGACCTGAAGGAGACGCTTACCTCTGTAAAGTGGGTGGAGCCAATAAATTCTGGAAATCCGTTCGGCCTGATGTCAAAGCGGTAGGCGAAGGAGGGCACGCCGTTCTCCGCCCAAACGGTGTTGGCTCTCCGTCTCAGAAACCCCATGTACCTGCCACACAAAGTCAGTCGACAATCAAACAGCGTAAACAGAGAGCAGGTGACTTGGACATACATGTCTCCAAAGAAGGCCGCGGCGCGGCGCTGCTGTAGGCCCCGTGAAACGGCAATATCTTCGCCGGGCTGGATGATGTGCGGCCACATCTCGAGGCTTGGGATGCCGACGGCCTGGTCATTCGGATACAGCGCCAAGGCCTCTTTGACGAGCTCATCGATAGTCTTCCCCGTCGTTTCGTTGGCTTGCGACGGGATGATGTTGGCCACGGCGTACGCCATATCCTCGTCCGTGTTGACGGTGCCGTTGGGACCCCTACCCGTACCGAAGGAGGTACCTTCGTCGGAATTGGCTCCAATGAGGATGGGGACCTTGACAAAGTCTCCGCGGGCGAGCTGGTTGGTGGCGAAGTCGGTGATGAAGTCACCATCCTTGACGGGGGTAAAAGTGAAGGGGGAGCCCGTCACGTTGAGCACGGCGTTGATTTCCTCCAGTGGCGCTGTGCGCAAACACTCGAAGGACTCAGGAGTGCCGGCGGTGGAGGCGCACGAGGTTATGTTGCCGACAAGCTGGTCAAAGTTCGTCTGGAACGTGGTCGAATTGAAGCCGCCAGACCCGCGGGGGATGACGCCTCCGAAGCCGGACTCGGCGGCCGCCGCTCTAAAGAGGCCGTCGTCGCGTCCTTTAATGATGTCAGCCTTTTTTCTTCCTCCCCCCCCCCCCCCCCCCCCTTTTTTTTTTCTCTTTCCGCGCGGATCATCGGCAACTTACCGTTATATGCCAACACTTGGTTCGCAACGCTCTCGGCGCCGGAGCTCTCGCCAAAGATGGTGACCTTGTCCGGCGCGCCGCCGAAGCTCGCAATATTCTCGTTAACCCAGTGCAGCGCCAGGCGCTGGTCCCGGAAGCCGAGGTTCGTGGCGCCGGCCTCGAGGGCCTGCTTGCCGCCGGGAAACCCAAACACGGAGAGGCGGTAGTTGAGGCTGACCCCGATGAGCGGAGTACCCTGCTTGACACCGTTATCGACGATGAAGGAGAGGTTGTAACGCTTGTCGGCCGAGCCTCCCATGTACTTTTCCCGTGTTAGCCAGCGTATCGGCAAAGGATGAAAGGCAGGTGGTGGCATACCAGACCGCCTCCGTGGATCCAGACTGCAACGGGCAGTTTCGCGTCCGGGCTTACGCCGGCCGGGCGAACGACGTTGAGGTGCAGACAGTCCTCGGAGGACTCGTAGCCGATCATGTCCCCGCCGTAACCGATGCAGTGCTTGGGGTACTGCGTGGCGGGGCGGGTGTCGTTCCATGTTGCGTCCAGGCCCTCAGAGATACGGAATCGCTCAGCAGTCTTTAGCACCGTACGGCTAATTGTTAGCATGTGTTCACCGGATCTAGGTTTGCTCTTTTTGCTCTTAGTTCAGGTTTACGCACCTTTGCGTACGGCAACCCGAGGAAGTAGTCTTGGTTGAATTCTGCGTTGTGGATACCGGAGTAGGATCCATTTTTGACTTGGACGACCGGAGCGGCATCCCTAAGCTTCAGAGCCGCAGACCACACCGGAGCAGAGAGGGAAAGGCATGTAATCAGCGCATAGGCAACAAAGACCATGGTCAGAACCGTAGAGAGATACCGTTTGAGGCAGAAGCCTTGATCAAAGTGTGGCTGGTGTGGGACAGTAGGCGTATGCTGAGAGCTGCCGTGACGGCCGTCGCCGGCAGCCTTTTTATACCACGATGTCTTCATCACGAACGCTACCTTCAAGAGTGCCTTGACAAATCCGTGACCAAAAGACCGCCAAGATGCTAGCCACTATGACAGCCAAGATGTATCGGGCCGGCCAACATCTGGTGAATGGTACTCTTCTACAATGGGACACACCACCGTACGGGATATCGAATGAGGACGCGGGGACAGTTGCTCGCTCTCCACGTCCAGCTCAAGTAAGTAACCTAGTCGTAGGGTTATGATGTATCCTTACGTCGTGTACGTGGATCGAGGACCGGCCCTTGCTGTGAAGGCGGCAAAACTCCGGGGAAAGGACTGGGGAGGAGAGGTAGAGGACGTCGATCGCACTCAAACTGGCCTAGTATAATGCTGTTGAGTGGCTATCTATGATGGCCTCTGTCTGGGGGTCAATAGACCACGCGGGGAAGACAATGGATGCCGGCTTTGATGGACGGTAAAGGAAATGACGGAGTGCGAAGTGGGGGTTACTGCGGGGCGCAGGGAAACTTGGAAGAAGAACAAACAAACAAAGCTTGAACACCCGAGCCACTCACACGGGCAAACCTTCCTCGGCATCGGGGTTCATGCTTCGTCCAGGGAGCAATTACCGAACAGGTGCAGAACAGGCACCCGAAAGAGGGAGAGAGAGAAGGACGGAGAGGGGGAGGGGGAGGGGCGGAGGGGAACCAGATATGAGGCAAAAAAAAACAAAAAAGGTAGGTAGCAGGACTTCCCGAGTGGGGAGGAAGGTCCGTTCTCGACCGTCGCACGCTTGCCGGCCGGAGAATGCTGCTAAGTTGTGTGGCTCTTGGGCAGCGTGGTATTCGGGGAAGCTAAGTTAAGGGGGCCTCGGCAACGTGGTCAGCGGTTATAAACCGGACAAAATCTCGTGCCAGTGCATACCGGACAATGACCGCAAACAAATTTTTAGTCAAGCACGAAATAAGGCGGAACTAGGTACTCCGTAGGTAAATGGGGATTAGGAAAGCCTTGCCCACATTCCTCCGTCATGGAGTCAATGCAATCAGTGGGCTTGTTTATAACACAAAGGTGGGAGGTAGGAATGCGGGATGGAAACAAAATGCCGTGTGTGTGTGTGTCTCTCTCTCTCTTTCTCTTTTGAGGAATGTCGTTGCAGAAAGCCTACCTGCCATAGGTACATGCATACAGCAAGCGCCGACCCAATTGCTTGGTGCGTGCCTGCTGCTTCTCTTGTTTCCCCACACGACCCATTCCAGTCTAGAAAACCCACCTGCGACGACTCGTGACCAAAGACGGATCGGACGAATCGAATTCCACAGAGCGGGGGGGCTGCATGCCGCTGGCGTTCTTCAACCCGAACTCTGCTGCAACCTCACACCCTTCTCCACCGCTTCGCATCACCTCATCTCCTCATACACAGAAGCACATGGCGAGGAGGGGGGGGGGGGGCTACGAGAAATATGCGTCGGCGGGCACCCGGATGAGAAATGACAGCATTTTGGGACGGAAATTTGAAGGCGCGTCGGCCACACAAAGATGCTTGCTTTTACTAACCACGAGCTTGCGGCAGGGCTTCATTGACATGTTAAGAAGATGAGACATTCCAGAAGGGCCAAGAGAAACGGACCGGAGTTCGGCTGCCGGGGACTCGCCGGCCGGTATGTTACGCAAGGGTATCCTTCAGCTAGCAAGACACCACTGAGACTCCCGGAACTGTGATCCAAGTCCCCCAACTCATGTCACTGGCTTTTGATGGGTTGGAAACACCGGGGCGAATTGTTGTACTGTATTTCTCTTTTTATTTTGACCTCCTATCCCCCCCCCCTGGTGCATCCCAAGACCGTAGCAAGATTAACGCCATACCAGCCATCCCCGCACCTCGGGATCCAGTCATCCGTTGTATGCCAACTTGTATTCGCAACGCCCCAATCTCCTCCTCTTTCCCACCCATGACTCAATGGCCGGCCTTGACTGAACCCCGTGAACCCCCCCCATTCCTAGACTGTTCAGTTCCTTCCGTTAGGGTATCCAGGTCCTTACGCACCCCCCCCCCCCCCCCCCCCGGCGCCCTCCATTCCCTCTTGCTTCTTTCTTCGGCCACAAACAGCGCCGCCGCCAGCAGGACATAAGCCGTATGTATATCATTACATTAGGTTAAGAGAATGTTTTCTTGGATGTGTATGCAGTAGGTATCATGGAAAAAGGGAAATCGTTGCCTAACAAAGCAGTAAAGTAAAAGCAAGAATCTCCGAGAAGCCCGGTAACGCGCCGATCGCCAATGATTTTTGCTGTCGCTGTAGGTACAAAGTGATATAAAAAAATTGCGCGCCTGAAACCTTTTGTCGTCGTTGTTGTACAAAGCCCCATGGGCGATGGTGCGGAAAACAAAGCCCCAGAGCGTGGCTGTCGCGTCAAGACTCGTGTGCCCCAAGTACTCTCACCCACGCAGATGCGAAGGCAAGACCTCCATCAAGTCACCCCCCAAGACAAGCAGTGGCTCATTCTCCATGGAAGTCTTGCGCAGTCATGTTGGTGAATTGGAACTGTCTTGACCGTGACTGGTCGGGCGACAGCTTGACCGAGACGGCCGGGGCATCCGACCAGTTGTACTCGGTGTTGCCGCTATAGGGCGAGTAGAATGCCGGCCCCATGTTGCTGGGAGGGTACGAAGGTGTCACCGGCTGGCTTGCGCAACCGTGCGCGACATAGCTCGGGATGCTCGTAGACATGGTGGAAAACTCCTGCTCAAAGCCACCGAAGCCGGGCGTAGGAAGAGGGTCATCGGGCACGTTGAAGTCGAAAGTCGGGAATATTGAGTTTGGCATCGTCGTCAGCATCCCGGGGGTGTCTGGCGGCGTCCTCATGGTCGGGTCCATGCTGTACTGTGGTACTGTCAGGGTGTTTTGAAGGTTGTAGCTCTTTTCGTCATCGGCCGAGGACATGGACGATACAGTCGTCTCACGCAGGGTCTGATGGCCAGTAACAAGGGGCGTGTTGGGCGTGGGTGGCGCTCCAGGGCTTCGGGATACCGGGGACCTTGAGGCCATCTGGAGAAGAAGGTTCTCCTGGTTGCGGTCAAAGTATAGGGGCGATCTTGGGCCCGAGCTAGCCATCTTTTGAATTCCTCTGGGGAAGTTGCCTGTCGCAGATGCCACCCGACGCATTGGACTCGGTGCCTCCATCCTCCTGGGCATCTCAATGCCCGTCTTCGGGCCCGAGTAGTTGTACGACTGGCTCCTCACGCAGCTGACAAGCTGAGCGGGCCGTTTGGAGTTTCTCCTGCTAGCGATGTCGATGGTCGACGGCGACTTGAAACGGAAGTCGGAGGTAGAGATGTCGGGTGGTGAATGAGACATTGACGCAGGCGAGAATTGGTCAAACTTGTCAATGGCGTCGGCATGCATTTGCTCCCGCTTCACGTTGATGGGGATCGGCTCAGTCAAGTTGCTGGACAGACCATGTGACGGCATAGGAGCCAGCGAATCTCCAAAGTCGCTTGCACTGGACAGGTGATGGTATGACGAGAAGGATGAAGCGCTCGCTGACTCGGAAAGGTGCGGCATGTACTGGTTGGGTATCGAAAGAGTCAGGTGACCAGGGGTCTGGTTGTTGGCCTCCAAAGGCATGGACGAAGTGAAGTCACACGAGGACTGGTCCGAGAAGAATGGATCAGAGGCCAAGGTGTAACTAATGTTGAGCTCTTGGTGCAAGAAGGAGTTGGAAGATTCGGGCGAAGCGTATTCCGACTCCGTCTCTTCGGCAACAGCCAGAGGTTGTTCTACAGATTGCTCCGTGGTCTCGGTCCCTTCGAATGGCGAGCTTTCGCGGGCAGAGGCCGAATCCGGCTGTGACTTGACGGGCGGGAAGGGGGCGGTGGACGGGCGAAGGTCGTCGTCGTGGTCTTGGAAAGACTCCCTGATAGTCTCGGAGTTGCTGGGTTCCTCGGCAGTCTGCTCCGACTTGCGGCGAGCCTCGTTCTCCTGTGCCCTCTTCTCCTGTTTCGCCTTTGCTCGACGGTTTTGGAACCAATTCTAGAACGGGTCAGTGTATGTCGCGAGACGGAACAGAGGGAGTATATAAGTACGTTAATTCTTGCGATGTCCACTCGCATTTCCTCGGCAAGCTGCTTCTTCAGACTGCTGTTGGGCTTGTTATTCCTCTGGAATTCCCTCTCGAGCTTGTCGACCTCGTCCTTGGCAAGTCTCGGCTTAGACTCGGTAGCCTTTCCGCCAACGCCCGGGAATATGCCTCGGTTCATCATGGCAGCTTGCTGTCGGTAAAACTCCAGGTTGTACTCATTTTGGTACAAGTTCCCGGGAAACGGGGTGCTGAAGGCAGCATAGTCGTATGTTGACTGGTAGTCTTGGTAGTACGCCATCGTTGTCGATATGGCAAAGCTGCTGGAGCTTCGATTATTGACCAGTCAATGTCACCGGGGGCTCAATCCGTGGTTGGATGGCGATGTGAACGAATGTGGTAGCGCGAGTGTGTCGAGCGTTGTGGTGAGTGTAGGCATGCATATAATGTTTCCTGTGATAACGATGGAGGCAGGCTCAATTCATGGACAGGAGGTGAAAGAATGACTTGAGGTTAGAAGGCTGAAAGCCTATTATTAAGAGAGGTGTGAAGAGAGAACGTGAGTATGAGAGGCGCGGGATTCGGAACAGCAAATCGAGGGGAGCTTGTCCGCTTTAAGATCCAACGGGGCAGGGCCGCAACGAGGTGAGACAGCAAGGTCTGCCAAAGTCCTCCCAAGGCCTGAGGGCGAGATGTTCGATCAGTCTAGGCAAGGGCCTGAAGGAGCACAGACTAGGCTTGACGAGAGGGAAAGGGCACAGAAAACAATGACAAGAAGGAGTGAGAGAAAGTGGTGTCGGGAGGGGGAGGGGTGAGAGGCGGAAGATGTATCCATTTGTCTCGTTGGCCCATCATCACAGAGCACTGAGCTTGTGTGTGTGTGTGTGTGTGTGCGCGCTCAAGCCGACGTGGGTGTAAGTCGCGCGGCAGGTAGGCGCCGGGGTGGCAGCAGGGCATGGGTGGGCAAGAAGGGGGTGCCTCTCTCTCTCTCTCTCTCTCTCTCTCTCGTTATCCACCGGGTACCCCCTAGCAGCGAGGAGATCATATGGGTGGAGGTATCGGGAGACCAAGGGAGCAAGGGGGTCACCACTCTTGACTTTCGAGCTCTGGGAGGGAAGGGAAAGGGGAAAGCCCCCAGCAGAGGGGCTCTAAGGACCAGGGCAGGACAGTCAGGGCAGCAAAGCTACATACAGTATGGTACTATGTATTCGTAAGGCAAGGTAAGCAAAGCAGTGGAGGCATGGCAGGATATGACATGGTCTGAGTAGCGGAGCTGTGCAGAAGACGTGTGCAGACTGCCCAGTGCAGAGTAAACTGTACAACGTGATGCAGGCAATCCCAGAAGATGAGATGAGGATGGAGGGGAAAGACGACGTGCGGTGGATGGAGGGCGAAGCAGGCTGTGTGAGAGCGAGGGTGTGTGTATGCGTATGTACTTACTTACTGTAAAGCGTATCTGTATGAGGAGATTCGGTGGGTGGAAAGTGTGCGTGCCGTCTGCATATGTGTGTGTGTGTGTGTGTGTGTGTGTGCCCATGTCAGCAGGAAAGGGGGGACGACAGAGAACTCGAAAAAAAGAGGACCTTGAGCGATCTAGGTATGCAATGAGCTGTCTACACCGAGGTACTGTGTATCTCAGTAGGGGTAGGTTGAAAGGCGAGGAAGGTTGCACCCACCTGAATTGAAAGTGAACCCTCCACATCCACACGGACATCCACTTGCCCATTCACAGCCCATCCCATCTCGTCCCACACACCCCCTCTGATTCTTAACCCTGGCTCCCGGCCACCGGGGTTCGTCCCAGCCCCTGGTCCATGAAGCGTCTTTGCGTCCCTGGGTTTGGACGACCGGCGCTCCGCTCCCCATGTCGGCTGGTGCCACACCACAAGACCCAAAGGCCCCTGCTCTGGGCTGAAGGTAGACCGGCAAGCGCCGCGCTGGTGGGTGGACGAGGCCGGTCTTGCGGTGATGTGTGACGGGAGACACCAGGGGCCATTAAGGCAAGGTACCGCCCGTGACAGACGGACAGACAGACAGACAGACAGACAGACAGACACGATGACAGGGCGGTGACGAACGGTCAGAGAAAGGGACGAGAGCGAGACATTGCAGAATGACAAGTCAATGCGCCGCCAGTCAGTCCAAGGTTCAAGGGGAGCAGAACCGACCTCTGCGGGCAAGATGATGAGCAGGGCAATGCATAAACTGACGGGCGGTTGGGCAGGGCGAGAAAACCGAGTGCCCTCTGATGCTTCTGGTAATAGTGCCTGGTTGACCCTTGGACTTGAAATGGGGCGAGGCAGTCGGCGAGTATGGCCGCAAGGGACACGACATGACGGGTCCTTGGCTAGAGTGGACTCAACACTGGGAGCAACGAGGAAACACGGCAAGAGATGGTCTACGTATCCGTACCGAGTACCTAGGTATACTGAACAATAAAACAGAAGCAGACCAAACGGGCCGGCTGAGCTGGGATAGGTTGGGGCGTAGTCAAGCCAAAAGAACGGTGGTGGCGATCCCAACGACGGCAGCATCTGGATCGAGCAGGCAAAGACCAGCTGAAAAGTCTGTGTTGCTTCGGTGAGTGCGCGGTGCAGCACAGCACACACACACACGCACGAGTGGGCGCATCTCGGCCTGTTGTTTTGCGGCGGGCGGAGGGCGAGGGAATACGACAAGATCGGACCAGCGAAGGCGCTGCAGGAAGACGGGGGCGCGGGATAAAGGTTAGCCTTGATGCGCACATGGAGTCTAGTATCCGTAGTATGGGATGGATATGCCGGGTTGGCGTGTCGAGTTTGCCGCGTAGCACTTGCGCGGGGGCAGGCGACGACAGGCGGTCGTCGGTCAGGCTAGGTACTTAGGTAGTTAAGCTAAGATGGGTAGTTTGCCGGGGCGAGTTGACAAGTGCTCCGGCTCTTGTTTAGTGCTCACTAGACAGACGCTTTGTAAGATGAGAGCCCCCAAGGCTCTTTGCAATGATTCACATAGTTTGCAATATAGTAGGTAGGTAGGGAAGATCGACTTTACGCCCCAATTTCCCTCCCCAACCGTTCCGTTGTTCTTGTTTTCTTTCCCGTCTCGAGGTAACCAGCCAGCCAGCAAGCAGTCGGGCCAAGGCTCTCGACCCCGTGAATGTCATCGGCAGGTGGATGGAGTGGACGATGCGAGGAGGTAGGTATATACTATGTATGTCACTACTATGTACTCAAGGTACCTACCTAAGCAGGACAAGGGAGGTGGTGTATCTACCTACCCACGATGTAGGTAGTAGTTTATGTAGGTCGGCATGATAAGATGCCGCGGCACTGATCCGTGTCGCGATGGCCCGTGTCACTAGCCTCAGGCACAGGGAGAAAACCAAGGTGTTGTTCCTTTCCCTTACTGTGCGGTACACGTGTTGGTCGGGATGAGAAAGCGACCGGGAGAGGCATCCCTAGTGTACAGTACTTGCAGAGAAGGTACATGCACTGCACCGTAGTATGTACGCTTACAAGTACCTTACGCAGCATCCTATACTAGGTATACACTACTAATCGTACTATGCATCTACCTACCTGGATAGGCACCTTACCGCAGCTGCTCAACTCGATGCCAGGAAGGTACCTACGATGTAGGTCATGTGGGGGAGAGAAACCCCACTTGCGGTGCGAGCTTCCATCCCCCTTCGACCCCGAAGGCAGGAAGGACCCTCCACTGTCTCTTTCCGTGCCTGTCCCTGCGCCCCGACCCCACCTACCGGAAGGTCATACCGTGTGTGATACTCCTGCAGCCACACGGATCACTTTTTGGAAGGACCCGACTGTACTGCTTGCACGGACTCGACGGTACAAGGACAGTGCGAACACGGCCGACGCTTCCCTGCAGGCGGGCCTGTGCTCAGGCACAACACGACGTCCTTGGACTCCGTTGCCGGCGAGGGCATCACTGATCCTTAGGGATACCCTCAAGTAAGTAGGTATGGTACACCAGGGAACAAAGGTGTCCATCGAGAATGATAGTGGACGAGACCATCAACTGCCTCATTCTTCGGCTCATCTCCCTTGCCACGCTATTGCGACGCGAACCCACGGGGCTTGACATCATATTTGAATCCTCGTACAGAGGGGGATGCTAAACGCTCTGTCCTCTTGCACTTGTCGACGTCTTGCACAGTACGAATACCGCATATCGAAATCAGCATGGGGGCCCGTTTGTTGACTGCAAGGTTAAATCCCTGTCGCAGGCAGTCGTTGCCGTCCGCAAAGCAGTTACGACCCACCGAAGAAAGTGCGGCAGGCTGCCTTATCAATACTCGTCTTTTTTTTTTTTTTTTCCTGTGAAGAAAACGGAGGGGGAGGGGATTTTCTGCTCGCATCGCCGGCTCACACACACACAACATGAATTGGTCTCTGGAATGAGCAACTCAATCTGAGACGGAGTCGATACGAACGGGACGGGGACAGGGACGGGAACAGCTACATCGCGGATGTACTGTGTACGTGTACAGTTATGGGCAGAATAACCAACATCTTGTCTTCCCTTCTTCTCTCCATCCTATCAGGCCTCCACAATCCCACCCCCTCGGACTGCACCTAGTTGTTCACTGCACTCGATACTCGCCCTGCGCCATTCGTTCGTTACCCCGTGCCTTGTCGATAGGTGGCTTGTAGTTTTCTCCAGCTTTGCCTCTCCCAGGGCGTGATCATCCGCCATGATGTGCTTGGGCCTGTCACGTCACCGCCATCGTCATCTCTGCGAGATGAACCCCCCACCCCAAGACGGCGACATTGGCCTTTGAACATCAGCCAGTACACACATTTCGTACAGAATACGGCTACTCTCTCAGGCATTGCTTCCGTCGGGATCCGGGTCCGGACAAACAACCACCGCTGTCCATCTTCCTTAGCTGCTCGCCCGAGGCGACGAGCAGCCTCACCACAACATCCTTGCTGTCGCCATGTCCATCCGGATCGGCGACTTTCTTCTTCTTTGCATATCGCGGCTGGGACAGCATCCAGCTCCATGCTTGGCTTCCCCACGACCTACGCTTCCTCCTGCCTCTGAGTGGACGACTCTGTCGCTCTTTGTCTCGGAACGCTGCCAATCCCCATCGGCCTGTGTTGAGGGTCTTGGGTGGTGGTGACATGAGCCGTCGGTGGGATGGCAGATGTTGGGCGGTCTGTTATCGATCGCCAGGCATGGCACGGCCTTAGAGTCCCGTCAAAGCGACACTTGACCAGAGTGGCTGCCACCTGATTCCGCTCAGCCGTTCCCTTCCCGGGCTGCGTTACGACACCAACAAAGCAAAACCATGACGGC